AATATCACTAATATCTGGTAACAGGGTCCAATCATTGTTGAAACAGCGAAAAGCTGCATTTGATACATTCCCCAAAGGATGGCGGCAGTCATCGTTGTAAGAGGCAGTGCCAAAAATCGTCATACCGGTATCTTTACTGAGATGCAATATATCAGTGTAAAGTAGAATAATGCCGCTTTCATAGGTTAAAAACTGTTAGAAAATATTTAGCTTTGGTGCAACACAATTGGCCTTGAAAGTTGAAACTCTTTAATATACATATGTGTAGAACCCACGAAATAACTCCTATACAAGTTACCTCGTTGTTTCTAACAGAGAAGCGTTGATTTTAAGTGCTATCAAATTTTCGACACTTTCAAATACACAAGAATTAGAAATTTAGTGCAATTCCGGTTACTGGAACTTTTCTTTAACTAAATTTTAGTTGAGCTACTGTTAGGTATTTTTTTTTGGTATTTCCTCGAATTTTAATGTAACCATGAAGAAGCAAAATAACCACCTAGGTCTTCCACCATAGTTTCGCCTGCCCCCAAAACTACATTTTAACGCAAGCTATGCTTTATAAAAATCATGACATGAAGTTATATTACATGATCACTCTGAAGCTATATGAACCACGGTATTTCGAGCATATACAAAACAGGATGACATCGATGCTAATTTGATAAAGAAATTGAAAGCACTAAGAGTGGCCTCAAATACAATTAAACCAACAAACAGTTTCAAAATGGCGTCGTAGTTTGCATTACTTGTATGACTTTATCGTCCACAACTGGTGACATGCAGCTACTTTTAACAGAAATTTTGACTTCATTGGCATAACGTATAGCCTGCACAGAACAATATTATTAAAGTTGGCACCACATTACCGATAATTATGACTCTAGATAAGAATTTACTATGGATAATTATACTAGCATCATGCCTAACAACGATAGTTTTAGGCGTTAGCCTAATCAAATTGAAAAATGATAACCATATTGACGCTGTACTTCCTATCTTCTTGAACAAAATGCAACTCAACGATGTGCCAGTTCCTGGGCAATTCAAAAAGCCGCTCCACGCTGTGCAGCAGAACTTCATGTGAACACAAAATATACGATTCATAATCTTTGACTTGCTTTACCTAGCAGTAAATGATCAAAAAGCATCGGCTGCTTTAGCGATAATAACATCCCTTTCTAGAAAAAAAGCATTTTATTTTTATAACTTTTTCTAAAACGTTCTAAATCAAAAAAGAATAAAAATTACGCAGTAAAATTCATGAAACGTTACTTAAATTAATGACCAGTGAGAACTGAAACAAACTTTTTCTACACTGTTTCCTTCGATGCTTACTTTGAAATAAACGTCATTATCTAAATAAATATTTAGCGAACTAAGGATTTAAACTCACTTATTAATTTTTGATTTGGATTGATTTGGACTTGCAGCGCACAACAAGTGAAATGTCGAATAACACTAATATAATAATAATAACAAAGCAGGTTATCATCTAAACAAATCTTTTAAAAACGAATTTGACATTCATTTTGTGTTTTGACCCGTCGACGAGAAAGAAGGCTTAAGAGACAAACTATGTTCTTAGAAGAGGCTTGCTCAAGCAAAGCAGATATGTATACGTATATAACTCTTTGAGTGGTTTAAACGATAATAAAAGGTTTATCAAGACTAACACATTTAGATAGTCTTCAGTGCCGCCAAGTAGTTAAACGTGCTATATTTTTACAATTTATCCATTTATTTTCCAAAGACAATTCTGCTATGTCAATAGATCTTGATATCACTTTAATTTTTAGGCACGAGCATATCTAGCATTTCCACAGACCTTACCATTATCTATCCGAACCGCAACATAGAAATTAGCTATAGTTCTTTAAAGAACCAGCTTTTCCATGGTCAGATGACTAATGAATTGGTATTTCTCGCGTACAATTACTGGTAATATTCATAATATACATTTCGAGAAAGTCGATCTAAGGCAAAAAGCCTACGCATACAAGGAGATCATAATAAACAATTTTATAAGGTACTTCGGTACATAATAGTTGAAGGACTTGAAACTGTGGAACCAATCTAACTTCAATTTAATATATGACAATAGGTTAAGCATGCCTCTAACCTAGGCGAAACGTTAGTGGACGGGAGGAGGAGCCACTAGGACTTGGGCGTTACAAAGTTGTGTATCCCTCGCATGTCGGAGGAGATAGTACGCTTGATGTTTATAAATTGCCGATCGAGTTTTTATAGCTGCTTCTCTTTCTGGCCGAAGGTAAGGTAACCGTTTCGTAAAAAATCCCGGTGTCTTGGAGAATTCCCGAAGGTTCCGGTCAACAACCCCTAACAACGGTACTTCGCAACCTTCGATGCCGCTTTTCTCGGCTTCACTGTTTTGTCACAAAAAGCCTGTAATTATATGGATGCACGTTCCACCAAAAAATTTTGCTGCAAATATGGTTAAAGATTGGGAAAATACTTATTTTACGCAATGCAAGTAGGGAATGGAGAACTTTATACGCAACATCAAGTCGAAATTCTTCTAGGGTGCAGCTCCTCGTCATCCAAAAAAGCACTTGCCCAAGAAACTTAGATGGGTTTTTAGGTGAGATACAAACTGTGTTCTACCCTTTAACCTCCGTTTTAAAATTATATGGAAAAACGTACGCATCGCCGTGGAAAATACATTAAGCAGTTGAAAAACCATGTCACCACCGATGCCGTAGTTAACACATCACAACATCTAGAGGGTTTGAACGACTGGCGCCTCAAACTTTATCAGTCATTCCTCCATGCAGTCGTTTCCGAGAGATACCATATTTGGCACGGGCACGCGCTTATAGGTACGACATGGGAGAAAGCAATTTCAGTCCAATTCTACAATCTTTAGCAGGTGTTCGCAGTGCAAGCACTAATGCAAAATCTTCGAAGCCGATGCAGAAAAAGCCAGTTGAGCCGTCGTTATGGTGCGAATTCGCTGAGAAAAGCACTTGCCACATATTGTTCTCCGACTGAGAGAATGAACATCTTATCAAAAAGCGTGCACGACATATCATTTCGAAGAAAATGTTTTAGAAAAACAGCTTTCTATAGCTATTCTTCAAGCTGATGCCTATCTTATTCTCTTGAGGAATAGATTAAACCCCTGCCCTTCTCTTAGGCAACTGACTTGCTGATGCGAATAGCTTGAACCCGTTTATATTCTTATTCGAAGATCTCTGTCATTAGATAAGAAAGCCGAAGAATTTAATCAAGATTATTACGTACGTAAAGATATAGCACTGGACTAACAGACCAAAGCATCAAGTAATAATCATCATTATTAATATATTCCGTTCATTACTCGTGCGATTTGTATAAATATAGAAAGCTTAGTAAACATGTAAAAAATAATGGGTTTTGATTTCCAGAAACAGGACCGGGGTACAAATTGCATGATAGAAACCGTGCATTATATTTATGAAAACAACGTGCTGACTGACTTGGCGCTTTCGCATCTAAAAGTTATTCATCATTATTTGTGTTTGAAAGAAATCATCAACGCGTTTTTTGTATAGGTACCTGTCCTCTTAAAATTAAAACGGTACTGGAGAAATTTGATTAAAAATAGTGTTCTTGTAACCAGATGGATAAAGTTTTCAAATAAGACATTTAAAGGCAATATAGTTACTTTAGGCTTTTTACAATGAGGCAGTCTTAATCAAGTGAATAGTATAGCTAGCCATAGGTGAACATTTTTAAAACGAAGAACGTAAAGCCGTGTTAAGCGAACATGAGGCGATTGGGAATTTCATCATCAAGTAATAATAAATATACCTATATATAAATTAGCGCTTTGGGTTTTTGAAGGTACCTAGAGCTGATTGTTTTTTCGTGCGATAGTTAACGTCAACCCGGGTTCAAATACTGAAATGGTGTCTCAGATCTAAGGAATCAAGGAGCTATGCACTTCCGCATTTGACACTCTGAAACCGCTCCTGGAAAACGTCGAGATGGCGAATATTGCACGTTGTCAAAGCTCTTGAAAAGTCGCACATTTTGGCCTCAAAGTAAATATTCAAAATCCCAAAACTAATATTGCTTACTTCAAAAATGTGTTGCTCATTTGGCGCTTAGAGTTAGATAAGTAGCCCAGGAGCAATCTAAACCTGCTCAAAATGTTCATAAGACGATTTCCGCGATTTTCTCTATACGTTGCGATTGTTTAGCGCCTTTGGTGTTGTATTTTCCAAATACTTATATAAATAAATTTATCTATTCATTATGATATAGTCAGTAATTGATTTTTGTTAGCGGATTGACATGAAGATTTAGCGTCTAGCTGCATGATATATGGAAGTCTTGGTGCTAGCTTATAACTAATGCAGGACTTTTTTTTCTAAAAAGCTACTAGATCTTAAGGAAACAATTAAAAACTTCATTGACTTAACGATGACTTTCAATATAAGGTAGACTCATGCCATCTTGTCTCCACTCTTTTTGCTTGCTGCTCTTGTGGCTGTCGAAGCTATGTGGTGGGTGAAATGTATTTTTTCAAAAGGAAATTTCAGTATTTAATGAATTGAAGCACTTCGGTCGGTCACTTTCAAACGATGTCGAATATTTTCTGCGCGAGATCAAAGTGAATTCATCAGGAATATATGGTCTTTTAGAAGGGCGGAAGAGTTACATGAGAATTACTTTTTAAACCAACAGAATTTGCGCAATTTCAGAGTTACCGTTTTACAAAACGTTTTTTTCTGCAAGTACATATTATAAATTTATAGATTGCACTTTAATAATTTACTTTGTTTCTATGTGATACTAGATAATGAATGTAAGATGCATAAATGTAACGTGTAATAGCATACATTAAACATAGAAAGAGTGCCACACGTATATCCCATATTGGTACGTAATGAGACAAGAATGCTGAACTCCTCATTCAGCCTTGCAATCGTAACGTTGAAAACTATTATTATTCATAGCTAATTGAAGGCCATTGACTATTAAAGAACACCAACCTGAAACATCTTGCCACTTTTTTTGCACCGGGCAGAATCTTCACTAAAAGCTATACCGCTACGTGAAGACTTAACTTTACCAAGGCTCGTTACTGTGTTTGTTGCCCCCCGCGATGAGGGTAATGCACCCTTCCCGCACGTATCTTTTTGAGGTACAAGTATCACCTTTGTTTTTCCACTGGCAGTTTCAATGTTGACTTTTTTTAATTTAGGACTGCTTTTTCCAACCTTGTCTTTGGGGGTAGTTTTGCCACTTCTAGAGTACCTGCTTCTCACTTTTTCGCATGAGTGTACTTTTGCGCGCAATGAATTTTTAGAGAAGGCCTGCACTTTACCACTCCCAGTCTGTTCTACCGCATCCGCGTAATCCTTTTTGTTGCCAGTATCCGCATAAGAAAGCAGTGAGTACGCACGTTGAGAAGATCTAACTCCCGTTGGATATGATGGTTCGTTAAGACATTCGATGTTAATGTTTTTAGATATATCAGACACAACTTCCTTCGATTTAGCAGCCTTTGTCGACCCAACAACGGATTTTTTAGCACCAGCAGAGTTGCTCTCAATCGTCAAGGCAACCTTCGCTGACCGCTTTTTTATGCCACAATTTCTCCTTGACACTTTTTTTGACTGCTCACTTGCCACTTTTGGAGACTTGTTATTCGCGTTCGACCCCTTACATTCGACCATAAAGCTGTTGCTTATTTCGGAATCTGTCCTGCTATTACGAGTAGTTCTATCTTTCTTGCCGACCCCCCCTACATTGTGCTCACTATACTGAAAGCGAATTTTTTGCGGCCTTGTTTTAATATTTCCTTTAGTGTGGTTTCTACTGATTCTGTTGTGGTAGCTGTAACTGCTGTTACTGTTAGTGCTACTACTACCAGTACTGGCACGCTGTTGTGTAGCCGCTCGGGTATGCACTGCCATGATCTATCTCGTGAACCAACTAGCTAGCGAGGCAAGCGAACGGGCGCGGGAAGGCAGAGTCGAGCTAGGCCAGTCAAAGCGCAGTTGCTGTAACACCCGCTGCAGTAATAGACGTAGCAGCAGCCCGGACCTCGCGCTACCAACATCGATGCTGCTCCACGAATGACTCACACTGTCCGGCGCTTTCCTGGAACTTTCAGCAGCACTCTGAGTCGGGAACAACAGTAGTAGCAGCATCAGCTGCCATTGCTGGAGCAACAACTAACCGCTGCAATGGAAGGTCCGTGCCTTCCCTCTCCACTGACGTCATCCTTCGCTCCACTAACTAGGCAGCCAGTCAGCAAACAATATGAACGACAACGAAACGACGATATATACAGCCATTGGTGTTACAATACACCAAACATTCTGCATCTGGTAACTTCGTGATGAATACTAAACTAAAGATGCAAAAATTATAGAACGAAATATAATTAGAACCTATACACGCAAAAAATAGTCATTCACAATTAAAAGGTGCTTTTGTAAAATTATCTTCTGCTGTCTAGGTTTTATCGTTTAGAAAAATGAACGAATGTCAGTGCACTGGATTAGATGACAAAGTCTTTAATTGAAAACGCGAAGACACTTTCTTTAAGCTCCACAGCATAACACATGTACACAATGTGTGCGAGACATAGAAGATGTACCTAAAAATGGATCGACATGCGACAAAAATGTCTGTACGTTGGTGGTAAGACTTCAGGGCAAACACCAGAGAAACCCTATTAAATATGCCGAATGCTCTTATATTGCATATTGAAAAACATTTAATCCTATTAATTCATTCTAAAAGATTTTTGCAGCTTTTTTATTAGGTGTCTTGCGCTTATGTTATGGAGCTGTAAAAGCTGTGTCTGGTAATCAGTTCTCTTGTATGTATAATTTAAACATATCTTGTGCATATGATAACTATTCTATTAGGTGCTTTCTATTCTGTTGCGAACTTCAGCAAGGTGATAATACATTGCCGTATTGACATACATCCTTTAAGTAAGGATTACATTTGTAATGACTTCTGTTAAATCTCGCCCAACCGGTCAAATCATCGTCAAGATAAGAATATATACATAAAACTCTTTGAATCTTCGTTAATATTTACTTTGTATTAAAGGCTGTTGCAAGTCTTAAGTTTCTGTTGAAACATGTAAAATCGTGATCAATGTATACGAAATATTACGGAAGGAAGATATATTTCTAAACACTGTACACGAAAAAAGAAAGTACAAAAACTCTCGCTCTTTTGCATGTTATAGGTTCAGCTAGCAACATTCTTGGCTTCACGAAGATTCAGGTTTTTGCCGTTTTTCCGTTTTTTTCGTCCCACGTGTACTGCTTTTCTCAAAAAACCAGAGTTCGAAGGCTGAGAGGAGATTGAAGGATAAGCTTGCAATCTGTGTAGTAAAGTGTTTCGAAATGTTAATAACATAAGCGATATTATTTTACATTTTAGTTCGTTTGATTAAAATATACGTGTTACTCTTTACAAACTATTGGTAAGCACGAGAAGCATTTCTTAGACGTCGTCCTACCCAAGTATCTTTGGTAGACAAGATCACAATTTCGAATAATAGCCCTTGGCCTTAGTTTGAAATTCAACCGCATCGTTTTTGTTAACTACTATGTGTTAAGCTTTGAATTTCTGATTGACAGTAATAGACACAAGCTGCTACAATTGCTTATTTTAGGTTTTGTACAAACATTGTCTTGCCTTTAGTTACAATTAAATCTCATGTTTGAGGTTTCTATCATGTGTAAGCTCGTAAGTTTACTTATCCATTGCGTGAAACAACAGCTTCGTAGCCGGCAATCTTAAGATCTCAGTTAAAACTGAACATTTAAGTGGGCTGTGAGCACTGAGTTTTAATTTATAACAAAGTTAGCCTTCAAAGCCGCGTTCAACCAGTGAAGGTCATGCACAGTTTTGAACTATCCGGAGTTTCTTAACTATTTTCTGATAAGCGCCGCTCCCAGGTTACACACACAGGCACAACAAATGTTGAATGAAATCACGAGACAGCTATAAAAAGATAAAAAGGCACCAGTTACTAACTGGATTTATATATTGCATGGTTTGACCAGATAATAAAACATCGTAATTCAATATAACGTTATTCATGTCTTTGATTTGTTTTGTGCAAAGGCATATTGTAAAAAAATATACATATACTGAAGGCTAAAATTCTAGTGATATTAACTTTGCAGTCTTTCTGAATCCAATTAGCAGTAAAGCCAACATTAAAAAAAGAAAACTAAGCGTCTTGTCTGAACTGCCAGTGTGATAATATGCGTTCTTTGTGCAATTATTTTTAGATAACCCTACTCATTAAAGATAACTATATAATCATCAACAGAATTCAAACACAGATTGCCTTACATAGGTATATCCAATGTGTCAAGTTTACTCGTCGGCAATTAGCTGGTTGGTATGTTTAAAAAGGGCAGAAGAAAGACGGTGAACAAACCGAAAAGCTTGGGAGATCTATGAGTCATAAAGGAAAGGGAACACCTTAATACAACGGAGGAGGATACATTGATGTTTGTGCAGAATTGTCTCAGCTTATTCGGGGGCCATATAACGGGGGCCTTTCGTCTATCACCGGGAATGCTGATATACACGGAAAGCTTCAGTATTCATAAATGTATATATCACAAAATTGTGTCAAAAGTTAGAGCCAAAATATGTAGATATACATTTCGGCACTTATATGGTGCTGGCTATTGAATTTTTACGGTGCCTTATTTTATTTAGGCTTTACATGTTTAACATATAAAGCTCCGTACTTTGCATAATGTAATTGAAAGGTAAAGGTGTTATATTTATCGCCTAATGTTTTAAGTGGCAGATCACCTTGCAAGCACACCAGCAGTGAATGATCAAAGCATAGAATTGCCAAAAATTAATGACCTTAAACTTTAAACTCCTTATAACAAAGCAATTATGAAAATATTTTTATCTAAGCACAAATCACATTATAGTATGTATAGCAAGGGAATTATGAGCATTAGTAAAGGATGCGTTTATGACTCAAATTCTATAAACTAGAAAATGCTGAAATAACTTAGAAACTCTTCAACTCTACCTAATAAAATGATTTTGTTTTATCGAATAATTATTTTTCGTGCATAGAATGAGTAAATTGGTTATTTCATTTACTTTATTACTTCAATTTATTAATGTACTTTACGATCAAAGTCACGCTTGTTTCGAGAAAAACAAAATCATTACCTAGGTCTTTGGTCTGATGTTCAGTCAATTTGGCAACCTATTTCTTCAGAAAAGCTTTCTCTTAATTCCCCTTGGCATAAAGCTAAAACCTGTCAGCACTCATTACTATTTTTGATAGCCTTAATTAATAGTCTACGTACTGTCGTGGCAGCAGTACAACTATTGTGGGTCGACGGCGCGCTTCCACATCAGTTGAGTCAAAAGTTAGTTTTTATTACTTTTAAAAAAGTCTCGAAATTATCTGAGAATATATATGTTAAATAAATACAGTTGTATCAGCTCAGAGTGTTACCTTATGATCATGGTTTACTGGCTATCTTAAAAATAGCTTTTCAACCGCTTCTACCTGAGATGCCAGTTTGGTCTTTTTATGGTTTAGGGCCCGCGTGACTTAGTTTATAAACTTTCACCTCATGGATATACGTGTGCGTTGCCAATCAATGAAAAGGTGCTTAAAACAAAATATTTTATTTCTGCACATACCTCGATAGACCCCACAGGTGATTATTCGTGCAGGTCCTTAACTTAGGGCCTTTGCTATGCTTAATTTACTAAGGACTGAAGAATAACATGTTCTTATAGTATGTTCGTTTTCTCCTGACAAAGTTGTGCCGTCTATGAATAGGGCCAGCATGATCAAATACATCAGTGCTGCGAGCTAATTCTGATGGATACTCTTATCTGCTTGAATCACATCTGCGAATTCATATCGGTACAACCGTTGCCAACTGTTTCATTTTAAATATAATAATAAATAATCGAGGAAGTCAAAAAAAGAAGACAATCCTAAACATAAAGCGATTATGTGAGCGTGGGTTATTTCGTAACTAGTTGTTACTGTAACTTTTATCTAAAATAATAATATGAGAGGGTACAGTAGTGCCAATGAATTATATTGATTACACTTTTTTTTTATCTCTTCACTAATATTAAACATAAAGTTTCCTTGAAAAAACCTTAATATGTTGTACAAAAAAGTAATTGGTGTATATCAATAAACACATCTTTTTATTTTGGCGTATTTAGTCACTTCACTCACCCTCTCCTTTTTATTGAGAGCTTTATGTCGTCTCGGTACCATTCGATTATTAAAGAAGTATAGATTGGCAACAATTGCAAAATACGTTATAGGTTCAAAACTGTAAAACCCTTGGGAACCGTACATTCACGTTTTTCTGACTGCAGCAAAATCAATGTAATTTTAAGTAATGCAATAAACCAAATATGAGTGCATTTCACTTAACATGTACTGCCTCAATCTACCCACTTCTAGTAATCCTTTCACTACCTTTTTGAGTACAAAGGAATATTGATACTGCGAGGAATCATACATGTAATATACGCATATGAAATTATTATTTACCTGTGTCGACACCACAGTGATGGTAACAATATTGCTATCGTCACTTGCATTGTTGATGGCGTTGGAAAGTCTTGTAGATGTCGACGGGGAGGAAGTAGTTGACCCCATAGCGGTCAGGATGTCGGCCACCATCCTTTCCTGCTGAGGGGCATGTCCAACAGCAAGGTTCACATCCGAAGGCATTGGACCATACATTATGTTCTATGATGCTCACGCACACTCCACTGTGTTTTCCAAACTGCTACAAGGGATCTGCGCTTGACACGTTGCTTGGGCCCGCAAGCTATAACTTAAAGCACCGCGATTTTTATTTGTTTACAATATTTATCGAATATTTGTCGAATTGGCTAAACATACTTTAAGTGCTAATTAATATTTTGAAGGATGCAGTTCATAAGCTTACTAATAACCCTAGGTTGCTATCACTTTTAATCATTATACAATCTCTTCAAGAATGTATGAATAAGCTAGCATAATCACTATATACTACTCCAGCTTGTACCGAATCAGAAGAGATTAGCTTTTCCTTGAGATATTTCCTTGAGATGAGAATCACAAATTGTGACTTTTGCAAGAGGGCTTCATATGCTTTGTCCATATGTCGTTTTTAAGGCATATGCTAACAAACGGTAAAGGATGATGCGTCACTTTTTAAAATATGAAGAACATATCCTCAAATATATTCTTCAATGGTCTTAAATAGAATTTTGTTTGTTTAATGTATTTTTAACAGTTCCACTTCTTGAACCCCAGTGCTTACCATATATAGACGAATACCCTTTAAATGATACTTATAACGCTCTTCACACCAAACGTTTAATCAACAATATTCATCTTTACCAAGTGTTAACCATGGTAATTTCACAATATCGACTTCACTAAGCGTTTTCACGATGAAGGTGCGCAAATAAGAATTGAGCATCTTATAATAATCCTAAAAACCCCATCCAATCGTCTTTATATTTACTGTTCTGAAGTACTGTAAAGCCAAATTCGAACACTCGGGCGGAACCAGAAACACTTTGTAGCAGTTCGCTTTCCTCTTTCGCCGCTGTTGTTGAGCACTATGAGCTTCGCCAGTGAATCCAACTATGCTCAGTGGTGACGCCCAACGCTTGGAGCTCTGCATTCGTCTACAATAGTGACGCATGCCCAAGAGTTCTGGTCTGTTAGAGTTGCAGTAACAAAGTAAACGCATCTCTCCTTTCATTCGTTTGATGCCAAAGCAAGCGACGCGGTAGCTGTTGGATACGACTCACACAGAACTCTTTTTTCCTTCGCATAAAAGACAGCCGTACGCTTTGTGGCTGGTGAATTTCTCACATTCGTAAAGGGCCAAAGAATAATGGAGATCTCATGATTCTTAAATAAATAAACAGCTTGTATGACCATTACTCCAATACTATTTGGAATCTCCGGAACATGATTACTATGCACATTCTTTTTTAAAATACTACTTTAGATGGTGAGCGGATGGAAGAAAATCTTTTACCTATGAAGGCTCTTAAGAGCGTTGAAGCTTTAATGGTGAAATTCGTGATTTTGAGGTCAATACGGTACATATTTACTAAGATACTGCACGAGTAATGTTGGTTGTATTTATATTTACGATAGCCGCCGTGCAGTTCAGTAGATAATATGATAAATGTTGCTTATCTGGGAAAAAAATTGCTATTTTCGATAGCATAATGATAAACAATAATAATTTCATTTATAGGCATTTATGACATTATTATTAAATAAATATTGTTGTACATATATGCAAGTACACTTGCTAGCCATGAAGTCACTACGGCAAAATGCTTCTAGAGTTAAGTTTGTTCATTGTACTCCGATCAGGCTTTCTTCAAATTTTGCTCACTTTCGGTATGTTAGTGCCTTCCTATACATGCACTTCCAGTAAATCTAGGCTTCCTAGCGTGGAACTTATAGGAATAAGAAAGGTATTAAAAATACTGATACACAAAAGCAGGCTATCATGATAATTTTATGTTGATTATTAGAAAAAAGTTGTCTTTAACCTATATCTTGTGTGATGCGGTATAATTATGTTGCACAAAATAGCGTATCAACCTCAAGTCAGTCGGACAGAATATCAAGCGGGGTTCTTAATGGTCCTTTAAAATTTGAATCTTATAAGGCAAGATTATTAAGTATTTTATATAGCCTATTTGGAAACACTAACAATCGCATTGATCGTTCTGAAATTCTCTGTGATATTATGCATAAATTAAGCAGCATTAATTCCAAAATATCACCATTGGTGATTTCAATTTTCGCCACTTAGCCAAATTTTCTTTTTCACTTTTTGATCCTATTACATTTGTACGCTGTTGTGTTCGCATCAGTTTCCTCTAAATAGTTTCGAACGCCTCATGTATTTTACTCTAGTCTTAACTTCTTAGTCACGGTTGATCCGGATCCCATCAATAATCCGTCACTTATAACACTTTTGTCACACTTTTCGTTTTGTGTAAATAAAGGGGTTATTCGATTTAATTTTATAAGAATTTTGAACACCGCTTATTTACATATATCGGTGACTTGTTCCAAATTTTAGTAGTAATGACGAAGTTTAGAATTAAGCACTACCACCCCGTTAAATCGGCTAATTTTCAAAAAAGCGCCAATAGAAGTACACCATTTATTACAATCTCGAGACTTCCTACCGCGAATTTCTTACTGAGAGATTCTTCTTTAAGCGAAATTTGTATTGCAAAAATAAGATTTTTAGAAACTTTATAGTACGATGGGATAAGTCTTATCTCGCAATGCCACGTATCGATCATACCTTTTAGCATAAGTTCAAAGTTTACCGAATTAAATTATTGGCTATTTATTTAAATTTACTTTACCATACGGTATTTTTCATACTTTTCAGTAAGAGTAAGAATGCTACTAAAGCTTTCTGCAAGTTTTTTATAGAAAAAAGAAGATTACCTATGTTGTGTTTGCAATATGACACATGGGGCAGAAAAATCCTTAATTACTCAAGCATAAATGAATATACTAGGTTCCACCAGAAGAGAGGGCTGTTTTCTTACTATTTCCTTTCATTTTTACCTATTCTGCTTATTTACTTCTATATACCATCTGGATGTGCTGTCTTTTCTCGTTATGTTGGCTGTAGTCATTGTATAGCGAATGTGGCTTTATATCGAGCCCAAGCTTCAAGACGCTTCTCGTGTAATAAGCGTATTCTCAACACTTCATCTGTTTCATCGTTTACCGTGCGAAAGAGGCTGCCGAAACAGCTAGGGATATTTACGGCATGTGCAGCGGGAGGTGTTCAAAAGAACTTGCTAACATTAAAAACAATACCCTGGACCTAAAAGGTGTACTCTACCACGATTGGTGGAATCTGAACACACTAGATTATTCTCAGACATTTTAGATTCATGAAATCTTATTCAGGTGTTAAGGCGCGCAACAGACTCGGTGGAGGAGACAAGGTTATTAATTTAATTCATATCTGACAGAGACGATTCAGTAGACAAAGCAAATTTACTCTTTTCCATGAACCAAACATTAGTTTCCTAAACGTCAAGAATGCGTTCGGTGGGATTAAAGATCCTATACATTGGAAAATGCTAGACAAAAATACAATGGTCAAAACTATTCAACAGCAAAAAAAACTCAATAAACGATACAGAGTCATTTTTCTCTACGACAATGCCATGCCTCATACGGTAAAAATTGCGACAGCCATTTTGCGAGAGTTTGTGCGAAAGGTTTTTCTGCACACCCCATATTCTCTAGACCTCGCTCCGATAGCCTGTTCCGATAAACTTGGTAGCCGTACATTTGACAATGGAGAGATACATAATTAATTTGTTGCTAAAATTTAAGTGAAATGCTACGCTTTTTGTTACTTGGAAAAAAACGAAATTACGTATGTTTTAACTTAAATCTTGTGCGTCAGGATGATACATATCATTCGCACTGCAGCATCACCCATAAAATTGAATGCCACGCAAGTAAGGACCAACCAACTCCAAAAGCTTTATTATTGCTTCTCCAATTTTTTTCTTTCCTATCATGTACAATTTTAACCTAAAGGAATGTGCTCTTTTTGTAAAAAACCTATTAGTATACCGCAGGTTCATTGGTGAAGACGCTTAGAAACAGCTCGCACCAAATTCGACAAACATTTGACTCATCTGAAGTCTCGCAACTCGAAGAAATTCGCAAACGCTACTTTAGTTGAACGCAGAGCGGCACTGTTCCTCTTAAGAAAATGTTATTTAAAAGCAGAATCGTGGGTGGTTATGCTCAAGGTAATTTTTGCCTTTATGGGAGTTCTCATTACAGTCGCCATACGCTTTTGCTGGTTTTTCACTTTGCGCTTTGATCCAAGCTTAAATATTAAAATAGGAAACGTATTTGCAAACATGCATAGGACAACACATCTTCTGCTCCATACCATCTTCAATTTATTATGTCAACCTACGCATTTTGAAGTTCTTTGTATGTACAATGCTAAATCGCGATCGGATTTAAAATATGTAAGTTTGTCATAAAAGACCCTTCAGTGTCTTGACTGGTACGTATCAACGTGCATCCCCACTGGTGACCCCAAAACAGCATTTAACAATCACATGTATAGTTAATGAAATCTGAAATCATAATTGTGGTTTCAGTATTTTTTGTCCTGTATAAATGGTCAAACTCCTACCTCAAACTAAATATTAATTGGCTGATTTATAAGTAATTCACGGTGCACTTTAATCATAAATGCATATGTAACAACGTTAAACGTTCTTATGTGTCAAACATAGGATATAACGCATCTGAGTATGATAAATGGAATATTTAAATTCGTTAAAAAACTATTACTTAAGGGCGCACATTTAGCCCAATGGGTAGCGCTCGTTCGGGTAGAAGAAAAACCGCGTGTATGGTTATTAACTTTTAACAAGTATCAGTAATTGATTGCAGCTTAATTAATCTGTCAAAATTTTCCGTTAATTGAAATCATATCAGTTCCTTCAACCGACATCTTGCTATTACTTGAATTCTAATTAAATCTATCTGATATTTTTAGGAACAGGGGTATAGTTTAGAAAGTTATAACCATTATTATCCTAATGCATCAGTTATCCTATTAAATTTGGCTAAGGCATGAAATCGAAATAAAAACTTTTGAATGAGCAAAGTACAGCTACTGGCTAAGAACGAGGGATGTGTTCCTGATTGATATAATTTCCATGATTAGTACCCACAGCACCTGTTTGAATTGCGTTTACACATCCTGCACCCCCCGCAGAATTAGTGTTTGCACCCTGAATGCTCTGGCCTGTTTGATAGGCAGACGCAAAGTTATGGTTGTAGTTTCCTGCCGGCGGCGTAAGGTCTACACCCATAACATTGCATACCCATCGAGCCATGTCTACCCGACGGTGTTCGGCTCTTGCTAGCCATTCGTGTCCTGCTAAAGTTTTGAGATCACCGCGTTCCGAAGGATTACGCTTCAGACACCGATCGACAAATGACTTGAACTCAGCTGAAAAGAAACCAGGTGTAGCAGGTACCGTTGGTGGGGCCTCATTTACAATATAATCGAGCAACTCAAAAATGGACATAGCCCGAGGAGGTACTACTGATGCTCCTATATTCATGCCTACAGTGGTGTCTGTATCTGTGGCGCTCCCTAACGACAGTCCAGTCGATCCTCCACCAGATCCTCCAGTACCACAATCGCCACCTGCTAAATAAATTATTTGAGGCTGTATGAGTGTCACTTGAAAGAATACTTACACGTCATTTAGGAATTACAACTTACGCTCATTTAGAATTAATATAAAACGAAACGGCGCTAAAATTATTAATTCTTGTATACAAAATAATTTTTCAGCCTTTCGCAGTCACCTTGAGCACGGTGAATTTTCGGTAAAAGATGTAGGAAAAAATTCGCCAGTACTTATCAATTAAACGCTACCGTTGCCGAGATATGATATTTTTTTTTATAAAAAAATTGGAATCCACTTAAATGATATCTCGGCTTTAAGCTTATCAATGTTTTGCGATATTATTATAAAAATCGGACCATAAAGCAGCGAGCGAGAGGTGTCTACTGACGTCGCGTACAGCGAGAGCACATTGAATAGTAGATATAATAGGCGTGGCCTATGCGTGACAGGCTAAAGTGTCTCGAAATCGCCACTTTGCACTGCGTCGGCAACGTGGAGCTGGAAGATAAATTCCTTGGTTCATCAAAGCGCTTCCATCTTTACGGCATCAACACTAGCGCGCCATTTAACGAATGTAGACAACCCACTGGTGAAAGAGGTGCAGTGGGGTAGATGCTATTAGTTTAGTGGCTTACACTTCAGAAAGCTCGAAGAAGTTAAATTAGGTGCCCCTATAATCAACTTAGTTTGGGTTGTCTTCAGCCTCCGATTAAGGATGTCAAGGTATGAGGAAGACTGTTTACTGTTCGACGGAACGTTTTTCTTACGTGGGGTACTCTAGGCTAGGGAACTGCATAACTAAAATGTCTACCAAGGCGGTAAGCTCAGCAATGAGCATCGGATCTAAGATAACAATTGATATGCATAGCTAGGTAAATTCCTCAAGAACCTAAACAGAAGTGCTTGAAATAGCCAAGAGGGCATAAATAGATATCGGCGCGAAATTCGGCATCCGTGCCAATGAATATATCCGAATTGATAAAATAAACTGTATGGTTGAGGGATAATGACACGTTCACGGTTATTTAAGCTTTGAGCGAGCAATTGTGGAATGCTTGCGCCGCCTAACAAAAAAAGTCGAATTGGGCTACTTCAATATATATTCAGTGGTGAAAACAACAGGCCTGAGAAAAACTTTTTGTGCGAAACAATATAAAGGCTCCTCCTTAAAGAATAATTAAATAATATAAAGAAATTATATCAACAACGATTTAAACTTTTTAACACATGTCTTATAAAGGCAGCGATATATATAATATTGATGTCGAATGTATCGACAGAGGCATCAATCACGTACAAATTTAATCACCGTAACTCCTACTCGCTTCGAGCATGACTTGACTAATACTAATTGCTCACAAATCAGGTTCGAAAATTCCTTGTCTAAAATTGCAAGTGACAATACAAACCGTGAAAGAAGCGATCTTAACCCATGCAGATTTGTTGAAGCCTCTAAAAAGTTTTACTTTAAGGATAAAACCGGGTCAAAAAATTTAGAAGGTGCAAAAAGGCGCGAGATCTATCTAGGTGATTCAATATAGTCTCTATTGAAATTTCTCGTCTCGTTTCATGGAAATCTTCCTTAGTTTTTTTATAAGCTAAAGAACGACTGGCAACACTGCAAACCGTAAATCTCTAGCACCCAAAGAAGTTCATAATCTGTGGAGATCCATCCGACGCAAACACACAGGACAATAGCTAATCATCGCGCATAATCTGAAGACAGAGCTTTTGCCTCCGCCTTTAGGGGCTAGATAGCTAGAGATTTGTTAAAGGCTTTACTTTAAAAAGAACTAGCTCCTTTTTTGGAATAGTAACAATGACTGAAAACGACAAGCCGTTGTAATTCATTTCGAACATCATGTACCATGCAGATCATTAGTGTTTTCTCATTGCTATACTGGTCACTGCTGTACTCACCCGCCTGCTGGTTTGTCGAGGAAGTAGAAGAACCTGGTGTCGCCGCCCCAAAAATGGCTGCTAATTCTCTGTGGTCTGGCGGTGGAATGGGATATCTGCCAATCGCCATTTCAACAAGCGATAATCCAAGCGACCATATGTCTGACTGAACTGTATAGTGAGTTCCCTGGAGCCGTTCTGGAGCCATATACGATCTGCCAAAAAATAGCATATAATAATATAAATTAATAATTAAAACAATCATTCGGAACAAAAGCTGAGACAGCTTTGAAGGATTCCCAGAAATTAAAAATGCCAAAAACTTAAACAAAAGCAGAGCATCTGGTTATATATACCAAAATAGACCAGCTATCCAAGGTGACCTCCCTTGTTCTACGCGGCATATAAACGGAGTGCTCAAAACTGCCTGTGTATCAAAAATATTTTCTACAAGGCTAACCACACAACTAGTTCTAATGTTCAAAAAATACTTAGCAATTAGTTTTTTTTTTGTTTTGTTAAAAAAAAACTCTCTGATGGTGTCGAGTCTTCCTGGACTTTCAGTTAGTTTTCATAATGTGTTTTTATAGGTTATGCTTTTATAATTATTTGTGCCGGAACCATGCGATTATCGTATATTTGTTATGCATACCAGCACTTGATTCCCAAAGGATGGTCCGGCAATTGAATATTGATAACAATTCACGGTTGCGTTCCACTAATTATATCCCTTATCGTTTGGCCTCAGAGTAGAGCTTGGCTTAACTGTTGATGCCGGTAGCAATAGAATTTAAGAAAAGCGATCGGACCATTTTCCTAGACGCGCTGTCTGTCGCGGGGTTGCCTGTCGTCTAGGTAAGCAATTATCCCTACTTGGGTTAGTTCTTTTATTCAGCGGCAGGAGTTTCTTGTCACACATCACAATGAGGTGTAGAAAAACAATAGGAGCGATGTCCGCTATTAGAAATCATATCTTTTGTCAACCTTTACTGCCCTTCGCTTATACAACCGCAATATATAACCCCAATAAATGTCTTCAATATAAGGGATCTCATAGGAACACCCTTCTTTCGCAAACTTGAAGCAGCTCGGCTGAAAATTGCCTATACCAGACGCGTCCTTGGACTTTCCTGGACGGCACAAGCTTACATCCTCAAAGGGTTGTCCCTGTACACAGATAACTTAAAATGACGCTCTAATGAAGCACCCCTTCCTTTCGCAAATGTCCAGCCAAATAGGAGAATAAGTTCATGGAAGCTGACGCAGTGTGTGAACTAAGTTATATACAGATACGTCCCGATGCGGTTATAGTATGATAGATGTTATGTTTCTCGACGTCGCCAGCTGACCTCCCTAAGAAAATTATCATTTTCACTGGGCCCAGAAAGCTATTGCTGATCCCTCCAGAATAATTATGAGAATATATTTATACAAATGTGTGTAAGGTGTAGTGTACAAAGGTGTAGTGTAGCACTTTTTGTGATCCACCTGGTAAAGAGTAATTCCTTTTACTGTACTAAATGCTGCAGTATAATTAATTCGTTTCTCACCAAGTGTTTTTACAAAAACTATTCATTTTACATAGTTTTCTTTTTCGCCCTTCAAAAGCGACGGCTATCCGAATATATCTTGATAGTCGTAAAACTATGTGTATTAAAGTACACCATTCATATCAACGAGATGTCATATGGATAATAGCTTGAAGGGACTGCTAAATGCTTGAAGTTTTAAACCGCCATAAGGCATTACTCAATTAGAATATTATATCCTTTATCCTGTTTACCAGACACCCGTACCGCAGGCAATTCTTACATATCTAGGATACTTCTTTGTAGTTTTATACATGATTTTTTTTACTGCAAAGTTTTCTTGTACAGCCAAACATAGTAAACAGAGGTTGTTGCTATGTGCACAAAGAGAACTATAGCCGAGTGCGGCTTGCGCTGTTTAAAAAGTATCTTGGATCAGAAAAATACGCTTTTCTTGATTTTGAATACGACGAGGATCACTTCGTTATTTTTCGAAAAAGATAAATGTTAGAAGAGCCTATACTGCTGGGCCCAAAAAATATCTGGAATCTGTTATAACTGTACACCCAATTCTTAGTCGTAGATCCCATGCCGAATTTGATGAATTTATTTCGTAGATCTCCTCTATTTTCTCGAAGCTTTCTTCCTTGACGTGTTTCTTAAACTTTGGAAAACAGTCACAAGGGACTGGAGAGGCAAAAGAAAGATCGAGCTTATCGAGTTTACGCAGCGACGATAAACAGATCAGTTGTCATCATGAAAAATGAACGATTTGTTCTCTCCGAGTATTAACCTATTTGGCCCTAATATGTTAATTTTACACAATATATTCATAGATTTTTGGTATTCCTTTCATAATAACATTACTTAGTAATAGTGAAACCACCCAGCATGTATTCACAAGCAAAAGAGCATGGCTAGCAAAGAAGGCAATGAAAAGAAACTTTACTACCACTTGTGGGCACTTGTTTTCACTCTCGATACAGGATATAGTGCACGCTCTTTGATACATCATTTTCGCTATTGGCTAAAAAATGAAGCACGGCTGGCTGAATATGCATATATGCTGCCAGTTACTTTTGTAAGCCTTTCCTCTCTCCTAGTATATGTCTAACAGCACGATTCATACAGTAACACAACAATCAAATATATGGTATGTTACCTCGCAAAATCGATAATTGTTCATTCATATGTCTCCTAAATTGCAACATGCATGGGCTTGAAAAAATCAAAAGCTCACGCCACAAGTGTCAAAACTGCGTCAGTGCTCAGTGTGTCAGATTCCTCTATAAGGGAATTAGGGGGCAGCAACCCGCATGATATTTGTCACAATTTCGCCCGCATCTACAGCAACTCATGAAAGCGCCTGTACATAATTTTGTAACAAAAGCCGTGCGTTACGAAACCAGTGATAGGGTGACATTTTGGGCGGTGATGGTTTGCGATAGTTTGTCCAACTCTTGTTTCTTGTCGGTTTCGTGTTTAAAAGTTCGCGAATTTCGTGTCGGTAAACTTCTGCGTCCATTTTCTAAAATACTAGGAAAAACAGTCGGCTGCTGGAAACCTGAAACGACATCTTAGATCCCGGATGAACCGCGAAGCGTCAACAGGTTCATTTTGCCGTACGATGAATATTCAAAACACGCTTCAAAACGGAAGCTTGGAAGGGTACGTCCAAATATCTTATTGTAAAATATATTATATCAAACGGCGTGGCTCCAAAAACATCAGCCTGTATTTTTATTATAGACGTAATTGAAATAAAAAGAAGCATAAACTTTTCGGGTCCTCACACGCCTACCAGATCTAGTAGAGAAGGATACAGGGAGTGTGTTAATGTGTGATTAAATGTGTGTTAATGTACACTAAAGATGTGCATCACATTTTACAGAACTCTACAAAATAGAAATATCAGTGTTCAAGTTTATAACGTACTTGAAAGAATCAAACGTCTTCTGATTTAAAAGTGAGTCTGAAAAACACTTATATTAAAGAATATGTCTAATCCATTTAGAGCTGTCAACTTATATGTTTGAATCAATAGAAATGATGTATTTAATTAACAGCAGTGACTGTGTATAATGCAGCATGTTGTTACTTCGTAAAATACTAAAGCAACAAACCACTATAATTACATACTAAACGCGGTATAAAACAAGTAATAAAAACGGGAAAAAGCAAACGTTTTACGCCACTGCGCACTAAACAATGCAATGTGTTCAGAAGTATGACAATATCCACTAGCGCTAACAATAAATGGTATGAACTGTCACGCTACAGCAAAAAAAACACAACTGACCTGGTTCCCACGAAGGAATTAGCCATCGAATCGATTAACTGACCGGATACTCCGAAATCGCAAAGTTTAATCTCACCACTTGAATTAACAAGGATATTTGAGGGTTTGACGTCGCGATGCATGATCTGATGTTTCTCCCTAAGGTAGCTAAGACCCTTGAGAACGGACATCGTGACCTAGATAATCAGCAGATGAAATGGGAATATTTTAATTGATTAACATAGATATGTCTGCCCAGTTAATCATAAAAGCAATACTTTACTAGTTTTATTAAGAATACTATTAGAATGTACAAAAATAAGAAGTACTTATTTGAGTGCCTTAAATAATAAAAGGTTGGCATAAGAGAAAAGAGTGTATCCCTAATAAAACGCTCATGCTTCAAACCAGGTTGCTTCTTGAATTTAAAAAAACTAATTAAGCGTAAACTGGTAACTAATAGTATTCATTTTTCATGTCAGACTTCAATGCATGAATAATCTTGAAACATTTCTTGTACTAAAAACTAACAGTTCGACTTATACTGCAAATAGGCGCTAGATCAAATTGAACGCAAGGAGGTTTATTACTTTTAGACTTCATGAATTAATTCAGAACGAATTCATTTTGATTAAAATAATATTTATTTAGTTTTATATATTAATTTGCATTAAACTGATAGTACCAACATTCTTACAGGTCACTGTGAATTTTCTAAATAAACAAAGTATTTTAATATGGTTCCATTTTGTAAATAAGTTATATTTTTCCATGTCAGCGAAACCACGTTACATTCATTTAAATATTTTTAAACAAAAAACAATAAATAAATAAAAATCTTAAAAGCACCTAGTAAGTTAGATAGAGATTAAAACAAACCTAAATATGTCTGTGGCTAGAGTACACTAATAAGGGAAGCTTGGTAAGGTTAAGCATGTGTACTTTTTGTTATGGTTCTGTCACCGAAAATTGCCGAGTGTTTTCAACTTTTCAAACCTAGTAAAATATTAGCTAATGCTCGAAGTGGAGAATTCTAAAAACTCGACCTGCGGGAGCTTTTAAAATTAAACTAATGAGCTGCTAATGATTGTGTTAGCCAATGCTAAGTTGTTTAATCTTCAGATAAGCATATCTTTTTCTGCAAATCTATGTCGTATATGTATCGTTGGATATTTTGCAAATAAACAAAGAATCTTCATTTACATTACAACGACGCCTGATTGACACATAGTTTACCACAAACCCACAAGTGTGAGTAAAGCGCATGAGACCTTAGGATCAAAGGAGGAAAAACCTCTTAACTAAGTGTTGCATCTAATCATTCTGATGCTATAGATTTGCAGATTAAGCGAGTTATTTTTGTCACTTTAGTGTTGATAAAACAATCAAATGATTGTGATATACGTTTAGGGAGAGGTATAGGTATGGATCGCACGTTTATTGCATCCAGCAAGAAACACGGTCACTACTTTTAATATTAGCAGCAAAGAGGATAAAGATTTCAACGGGCCACGTGTCAGGATAGCTAGGACATTAAGTCATGGTTCATGAACTTCTTTTGAAACATGCTTCAAATGGGACGTAGACATTGTGCTAGATCAAATCAGTCAAAGTAATGCGAAGCAGTTAGACAAAATGTATCTGAATCTGCATGATTTTTTTACAATTTGCATTTTTAAAATTGAAAGAAACATATAGAGACTTAAAACATGGTTCACTTATAGGCGATTATATTGTGGTAGCTCGTTGGCAGGTGGCTTATAATGAATGACCTACTAAGCAGTAGAGTAACAATTATGTGTTTGACTAATTGAAAGCAGTCCATCATTCAAAGTGCCTAAAAAACTGGACAGCCAAAATTAAAGAATTTACATTTTACAAAATATTTAAGGAAATACATTAGGCAGTTTCTAAGTAACCTCATTTTTACAAATGTTTAATATTTAAAATAATTAATTTTAGAAATACAAAACGGTTACCTTTCCAAGTACATCCTCTGGAATGCGGTGCGCCCTTCGTAGTACAAGATCAAGGGATCCTCCGTCCATGTATTCCATACACACATTGATTTCACCATCACTGTAGAATGATCCGTAGAAGCCTACAATATGCGGAGAATTACACTCGTCCAGCACCTACGCAAACATTTGCAAAACCATATTATATCTTTTATATGCAAAAAAAACAGGTACGTCACAAAAATGGGTGCAGATTCTCTGCACCCAAGACTTCTAATTCTATAACGCCAACTCTATTTTAAGCTTCATATATACTCATATATTATCTAGTCTTTATATTTTTTGCTAACTATTCAGTAAGTAAGCTTGGCTTTATAAAGAAACTCTGCATTGAAAATCTTAAGTCGTAGAAAATTATTTTTAAATTCGATAAAGAATAATACTCTAGCGACTTAACCTATGTGCACTAGAAGACAGTGCTGCTCAGCGCGATGGCGTGAAATATTGGGTACGAAAATGTTGCAGGTTGTATTGGAAAGCATCACGTAGTGTACGTCAAAAAACCAAGCGTTTCCTTTCTTTTGGAATAGGCTAGGTCTATAATGTTGGTCTTATTATATCGTTTAACGACCAAGACGTTTGTCTCTAAATGCATGCGTTCAGAAAATTAGCACTTAGTATCGACCATTCGCTTATAATTTGGCGGTAATAGAGCTCATAACTTTACTTGCCCGTAACCTTATTAACGCGTCTCGTATACACACCATACAGAAAATGAATATAGTATTAATATGATGACGAATAATGAATACTGTATCATAATAAAGTATCTTTAAACACTCAGGTTCGGCACTACTGTGTTCTGTAACATCATGTTTTTAGTGTCCAGAGCAGAAGGCGTTGACTGAACGGCGTGTGGCTACAAATTATTTAAATGAGGAGTAAATCAATACTCAACCACAGGTCCGGTTAACAACGACAAATACTAATTCGGTTAATAGTTCATCGTGTAAACAAACTATTTTAGGTTTCCCATGTTACCAGTATTTTTTTTTGGACTTAGCGGGAGGGTACTGTCACCATCGCCACCACTACTGCCATACTTACCGCCATAGAACATCAAGCAAAGCATTTTAGGGACAATCGTTTCTACTGCATATCTAGTCTCCAAGTTGACATTTGCAAATAATAATGGTTGACATTTTTGATCTTCGGATTTATTTTTGCTTTACCTCTGTGTCTGCTTTATGAACGTATTTGAGCGAGACACCAATAGGACTAGGTTAGTGACATAAAATCAACTACACATTTAAAGTAGAGTTCAAACGCTACTTGAAAATATGATCAATTAAAGCTAAAACCCTAAAAATTATTAAAAAAAAACCTAAAAAAAAAAATTATCATGTCATACGAGATCGATGTGATTGTTTTTCATTTTTAAACGCGCGACGTGTCGTGTCTGGTAAGTTGTGGGACATCTACGTGGCTTCTTCATCTTGTTTTAAGTTATTTAGCTCTAGAGTAGTGAATGGCTGGCTTGTAACTTGTTTTGTGCACCTTCTTTTGCTTCAGGTACCTTCATCAGGACCATTCCATTCCGATATTTTTCAAGTATTCTAATCTAATCGAATAAGTTTTTCTTCCACTTAATCGTTTTTCCCATTGGAATATTATGCACTGTGTTAACTCGTCATCGGCAGCTGTCTTTGTTTTGGCTTATTTCTGTCTACAAGGTTGAGATCTTGTGTGTGTGTCTGAATATTACATTTTAGCTGTGCCTCATAAGTACCTGCTCCAGACAACATGTTCCACGGCATAAAGATACGTAATGCTTAATACCTTGAGTTTTGACTTCATGTCCTCTTTTGGACCGCCAGCAGTCATTTCCAATAAAACTTCTTATGCTCCCTCTCGAGTGTTAACCAGAGAGCATTCTTGTCTCTTAAACTTGTACTTTAAAATTAATTGATATTCATCTATTATATGCTCACAGGATTAAAATGCAGCGCAAAATTAATCTTCCTGCTATATGCATAAGTCCTACTTTTAATAATTCTTCCTGTCTCCTCCATTTGTCTAGTCTTCTGTTTTTAAAGGTAGGCAGTAGCTTGCCTGAATGGCTTATTTTACCTATCTTCTGCTTTTTATCACGTTTGATTATTTTATCTATAATACAGGTATTGACTTACATGTCGCCCTTGGTTTACTTGGTTTACATGTCGCCCCTAAAAAATACGTACATCTTTCGTTTGCCCATAATATGACTTCGGACGTTGAACAACCTTAGCACATGGTAGTTGTGTAGTAAAATCACTTCGCTTTTTATATGTGGTGCATATGAAATCCATTATGTTTTTATTTTTTAAAATCAGCCCCACGCCCTTCCTCATAACCTAATCTTGGAAACTGTAGTACATATTCTTTATATCAAAAAAATAAACCTCATTTTTTGGCCACTTGTTAACTTTATTACTCTTAGTCTACTGGCAGTGTGTCTGCGTATCTTCGAACCGCGATGCTTGTTTGATTTTACTGTGTATCTCTTTAGGTTATAGCTTTGTGGAGTGGCAGTTATTACTTATCATTATCTGCTGAAAAGAACATTTCAGATATTTTTCTTATTTTTAACATAGCTTTTTTTTACATACAGCCTCTGCGTTCGCTGTTTCCCCGTAAAATTCAGTGCAGAGACTTATGGAGGGAAGCTTTTGTTCAATCAGACTAAAATTTCTAAAAACCATCTGCATAGATTGAGAAGAGCTTTAAACCAGCCTTCCACTGTTCTAGGTGCGGTCGAGTTGGAGCTATGGAAAACGAAGTATAAGAGCCACACAGATATTACTACCTACTGAAAAAAGCATCTCACCGGTTTAGAGAAAAACAAGCACGTAGATTTGGTGGGTTGAATGGGTTGAGTTGACTCGTTTATTCAATACATTAATAGTCTATAAGCTGTAAAATTCTTCGCTTTCTAATTCCACCTAGTTAAAATATATCGTCCGACTTTAGCAGTGTCCAGTGTTTTCCAACTATTAGAAGCTGTTGGCTTTTTTTGGCTTTAAATACATCTACTTCAAAAAACGTTTAGACCCTAGCTGAGGTGTGATTAATGACGTATTGCGTAGTAATATGCCTAGCTCCAGTTGTGTAAAAAATTCGGCTACTTAACGTTACTTTTACAACTCAATTATATATTGTGGGCGATTGCTACTGCGAAGATTTTGACGAATTTCAAAATAACATTTTGGGAGGAGTCAAAAAGTTTAATTTTGGAAAATAATTAAAATCATTAAATTGCAAGCTACAAAACGCTCCAATAACTGCCATTTTTAAACATGTTTTTTCAATTTAGACGTCCTATATACTGCATTATTATATAACATACCTATTATCACTAAGTGTAATACCAGCTTGATGGTCCATTTAATTCAATTGATTAATAGGGTGTTGTGGGTATTGAGGTATACCTTAAGCTCGCGGATGATCTGGTTACGTATAGCAGGCTTCACTTCAAGGTGAATCATTTTGCGTGCCATTATGAGACCGGATGGCCGGTGAAGAACCTGACATGAAAAATTAACTTATTTAAGAATCTATTTACTTTAGGGTGCTCAATGTCTACGGGTATTCTTCTAAGTACATACGAATACCATGGGTCCTTCTTTTAATTATACTCAAAATTACGAGCCTTCCCCAGCTCTTGTAGGACCTCTGCAATTTCTTGATATTGGTACATAATCGAGCGAACTACTTTCGCACTATGAAAGTCAAAGGAACACACGTAAATAACACATGGATTCTCCATTATTTCGTTTTTGAAGCAAAAACGTTTTTTCGTTTCTTAGGCTGCTACAAATATGTGAATAAATACTTGAAATCACTTCATCCGCGCTAGTATTAAGAGCTTACCCCCCACTAGAATATTTAGTCGAGTGAACATTGCTGATTATCTCAGGATTTCTTAAAAGACCATGATAAACATCTGCTAACGCCGAAATTTGAATCAGCGATAGCCAATTATTCAAGATTATCATGGCAAAGCATTCAAAAAGGCGCGTATTAAGTACCCAGAGCACGCCGTTGTTTCAAATTCACATGACCGAGGGAAAGGATCATTAGGAAGAGAGTGTTTAGACTTTAGCGAACTTCCTAAGCGAAACTAAGCAAAAAACAAATCCTAAAGCACGTAACAGAGATTGGATCGTCGGATAATTCATAATATTCATATAGTATATATATTTATAATACAAAAGTAATTTATAATATTTTAAATTCTATACATATTTTTATCAATATCATTAGGAATATTACTGTTGAATTTTCCGAGTAGTGAATGTCTGACAGCTGATATTGAAAAAATCTGTATAGATAGCGAAATATGACTAAAAAAATATTTAACTATTCCTGTAATCTTGATACTAATTTTTCACATTGAGTCGACATAACAGGTTTTGTCATGCTGGGTTCTTTTGAATATTTTCTGCTATCAAATAGTAATAAATCAAATTTTTTGCACACCGAATAGAATAAGAGAATCAAACATAAACAGTAATAGCTTTAAGATTTAACGCAAGTATATAGATAGAGAAATTAGATAATTACTTTTGTGACGACTCCGCCATTTCCAGCTCCGAGCTCACCAAGACTATCGAAGTCTTCTGGGCAAAGATCCTTGTCTTTTCCCTTGACTCTTTGTTTTTGGAAAAGAAAGTCGGCTAGTCGTGTGCGTTGCTTTTCGTCTAAATCTAAACCCTCAAGACTTCGACGTACAGCATCCACCTAGAAGGTCGATAGCAGTATGAAACAGAAATAAGCCTAATATAAATGGCTAAAACACGTAATTGTAATTGTTGTCGTAAAATTGTAAAAAACGGCCAGTGATGCTTGCGCTACGCAAATAATTAAGAAAGAGACCCTTTTAATAAGCTCTAAACCACCTGTAACCTTAGGGTTATACCACGGTACCTCAAAAAATATGTTAGCTGGGCAGCACGCCGCAACTTATGGTGCTGATAATATTGTTATTAACAATAACACAAAAGCTCCCCATTTTGTGCCCCTGATAAAATTAAAGAAGTCAATAAATATCTAGATACAAACTAGCGATTATAGAGCGCTATAAGTCGATTATAAACAGAAAGGGATACTTAGCATATTAATACTCGTGATATTGCTGTTGAGAATTTCAGTGCATAACAATTAGGAACGTGTTCAAATTTGTTGGATCAATTGAACCTCGACCAATATAGAGTGGTTGAATCGAGTAACTATTTCACTAAGGAGATCACTGTGATATAAACGCCTGATTAGTGTCAAGCATCTACACCACATAGATAATACAAAATACTATTAGTGCTGATAATGATGACGATAATCACAAAATATATCTACGTAAAAAAATTATCTGAGCAATTATCATTCGCTAACTTAGTTCAGTTCACAGTTATTTAACTCAAAATTGTACTATTCTTATTAGCACAAACAACACACGAATATTGTTTCTGCAGTGAATGCAACCTATAAGATTATTATTTTGCCAATGCAACGCTCGTATTGATAACTTCTATAAAAGGTAAATCATTACATTAAAGTTACTAACAAAGTCTGATTTTTCGATATCTATGAATAGAGACACAGCCGTATTTGCAGAGCCGCACTGCCGGTCATGCCCCATTTGATAACTTACTACCACAGTATTCGACAGCAAAACGCCTGCAAATGCAGTTTAAGCATGAATGTGACAGAGGTTGGCAGTTTTTTTGCTCTATAGGAAAACGCTGAGAGGAAACAAGAACTTATTTGCCTAATAGTAAGAGAGGTGGCTGATTGAGAACACTCCTCATGCATAACTCAGAGTTGGCTGTGGTCCAGCTGGAGATTATGAGAGCTTCCTTTCAAAGCATTCTAGTGTCGGAGCATCCACTGCCCGTTGAAATTCCATAATACAACAGAATCTGTACTGGAGAACATTAATCACGCAGAAGGCGTCTTCAGTAAAATAAAATTATTGGATTGTATAACAAAAATACAGTCTTAATACATGTCTTGAATGTATTGTTTATCGATTTTACGGAAACGTTCGGCTTTGGATCAAGAACTGTAATTTGAGAAAAGACAGCCAGTCCGGGTGTCGTCTTGAGGCTTTTGGAAATACTTGAGGTTATATTTTGAAGGACGTTGCCTTAGTCTACGGTGACATCGAGGAATGACCAGGTATTTAGAAAAGTATGAGATGAACTCAGGAAGAGAACCTATTCTCTCTGCCTTTCTTTGTTCCGATCAATGGTCTTTGAGCTAAAATTAAAAGTGGTATCTGTTCGTATATATGATTCCCTGCAAGAATTTAGTACTGTTGTTAAGTAAAAACAGGTTTACTTTCTGTAGGCCACAACGACATTGACTAATTATGTGAAGGAAATTAGTTCGCAAATATATACGTAAGACGAAGTAATGAAACTTCGTTGAGAAGAGGCACCGGCAGCCATTAATAAGCTAAAGCTGGAAACGAAACAACTTTTGCAACACATTCATCTATCTCGAGGGTCCCTTTGTCAGCCATAGTTTATTCAATTAACACAATTAACAAAAAAAAAAGGTATGATAGACCTTGGTGGCATCCACCTCCATCCTATCTTAATAATTTTATAGTTTACTCAATTGGAAGGTGCCTCTTACCGCTGCATACAAAAATTCGAGTACTTAGAAAACATTTTTTCTCAATATACCTATCGGCGCAGGACGAAGTAAAATCTAACCCACTCAGGGATGTCACTTTTTATCACTAATTCGTTCAAGACGTTAGACCTTGTAGAAACATACGTGTATGAAAGATTTATCAGAGAATAGAAAAAAAGTGGCGGACATTGGCTTCATAAACAACCACCATAGCCGGAGAGATGTTTACAAAAATAAATGATATGTGGTTACTGCTCTTTCCATGTACGGCTTTCACTAAAAGAATTGTAAGATATAGGAATATCATAAAGTAAGGGTAACTGTAAATAGTGTGGTCATATCTGCTCTTGATGTCATGCCGATGATTAATACCCTAGCACGTAGGTGAACAAGGGTAGGCGTAGATTCACAGCAATATAGTTTAAAAGACTTTATAAAATAACATGTTATAATATGCTATCAATGCTCAGTGGTTTGTATTATATATTTGGATAGGTAATTAAAAGCATGCAAAATATGTATGAAGACTTTATGCAACTTTATTTGTGAAACGTCTTGCCTTATCATTAATGACATATTAAAGGGAGTGAGGTTATATCGGACAACGATTACGCGGGTCACTTCGTCTTATTCTATCAAAAAAACGTTGATTTGAAATGTTTTATTTTCCGTGTTTTACGTTCGATACTTGAGCCGTCAGGCATTACGTAAGATGGCTGACTCCCGGCACGAAATGAAAAAGCAGATTCAAACTCAGACCACTACATGTCCTTAAATTTAGCAATCAACGTTGTCCACTACCCTATCACAAGGACATTAAATATATATACTACTAGATTTTAAAAATTTTTAAATATGTCAAGAATGCATTGCGATTCGCGTTGCTGGGTTTGTCCGAAGCAAACTGCAGGTCTTATGCTTTATAGAAGTCACCGCATCCTGCAATATTACACGACCAGTCCTGGGTGCTATATGGGGCAGGATGAGGTAAAGCTATATGAGCCAGCCTTATTTCGGGCTAATATGAAATAAAATGTCATTGCTTATTACACAGAGTAATTACAACAACTAAATTGTCTTACGACACAATTCATCGTAGTGGGCACACGCAAAATGCAACATCTAAATTAGAACGTTTCTATGTTTTGCGTCTATAGTGTATCTGAATAAAAACTATGTTTGATAGTCAGTTTCATTCAATATTATCATAATTTACTGCTCGCAAATCAATTCGGGAATTTAATCGCTTAGAAAGTTATTTTCAGAATATTCCTTCTGTAATCCACAAATAATACTTTATTAATTACTGTTTGTGCGTGAAAAGGTCTTGGTGGTTATGAGTCAATAAAGATGTTGCTTAAATACGCTACATATAAGAAATTCTAACAGAATTAAGTTTTCATACCTTACCAAAGGTTTGAGGAAGACAAGGGCTTCAAGCGACTAAAAAGTCCACAAAGAGCAAAAAGCTTTAAAAAAAATTAATCATTAGAGCTTATCTAGACGACTCAATTAGCAATTAAAATTTCGCTCTCCAAGGTGGCCGTTAATATCTACACAACAAATCCAGGCGTATACAAAATAGACCTTTTGAATTACTTTTTGAGCCTTTTAAATCTAAAACCTGATGATACTGTTCACCGGATTTTTCAAAAATTGCATAAAAATTGCCAATAGCGTAGATTGTTGATTTCCGGCAAAAAGAAAGTTTTTGATCAATGTATGGACCGGATAATAGCTCATTTTTGCCAAAATTGCAAGAGCAACGCATTGTTTTCCATAATGGCTAGTCTTTATTTTAATGAAAACAGGATGCCTTTCGGCACCAAAGTGCCGAACAAATGCATGCCTTTATGACAAACAGGCCGCCAAAGCTTGCTTCAATTCGGGTGCCATATCTTGTATATATGTATAGAAATTTGATACAAATGTATTGTTTACTTATGTAGCACCCTTCTAAAACTTTTTTTGGAGGAAAATACGTTTTGAAGGAGAACGCTATCGCCAAAATGGCTTAAACACTGTATCCTGTTTTTCAACGCTAGATAATGTGCGTTAAACGATCATTTAAAACAACCGATTTTAGTACCTATGTTAGTATAGAAGCTAGTGCTTCTAAAGAACAACTGATATCACAATTATTAGCTCGTTTTGTACAACATGTTGTAGTGATTGCTGACTCAAAGTGGTATGTACATACGAAAAAGACGAATGGAGACAAAAAATCTCGAAAGAGTACAAAAAGCAGCTGCCGCCGTTTTTTTTTGCACGCATTTTTTATCAGGAAGACAGCTAACGAGTTTAGAATGAGCAAGTTTTCCTTGCTAATCTTAAAACTGTGTCATACAGTTTTACTTCTCTAACGTATTTAATCAAAGCAAGACATCCTTTATTTGACAGTAATAAACCCTACAAAACCTATTGCGCGCGAAGGAACGAAAATGGCTGCTCAAGTGACGTTACAAGGTCATGAAATTCTTGCTACAATGCTTGTTTTTGTGTAAGCAAAAATGCAGTTCCGTCGTATTTTATGTTTTCTAAAGTACACTTCGAGAAGCACATGATAATGGATGTACCACTTGAAATCCAAGGTTTTCCAAACCCGTCTGGGGAGATTATCAAAAAAAGAATTCGGAAATTTCCTAAAATGTTTCGTTGCCACCATTCGTAGTTGCCTGGAAAGGCCATGTTTGCTAATTGTGGATAACCACGAGATTTACGCAGGCCTGAGTGTGCTCATGTTGGCTTTGGAGAATGGCGTTCATGTGGTTACACTTCCTCTATATTGCTCGACTAAGCTACAATTCCTAGGCAGCCCTTCGACCATTAAAGACTCCGTACAGCTCAGCAGAACTTTGCTACTACTTACGGTAAGATCTATGATGTTAGAATGGGCAAAAAGAAATACGTATGAAGCATTACAATAACAGGCATTGCTCACAATGTTTGTCATTTGGTTTTGAAGGACAGGTATCTTTTTGCTGAATGAAAATGTATTCGCAAAAAATGACATTTCCTCTAATAGCACAGGCTGATAATTAATTGAGGCCATTAAGGAGCCACCCACTGTCGTTCTTACAAAGTAGCCTGCATCGTTGAAAATAGAGACCCTATTACGAGCAGCTGCATAATCAATTACCAATCTACCCAAAAAGAAAGAAACAAAGCTCATTGATCACCCGTAAATCTCATTAAAAGAATATTAACATCTCCGTTTTTGAAAAGATAGGTTCAGCTGTCCGCTGGGATTAATTACATTTATCTATACTGTTCAGACACTATGCAAGGCTTTGTAAACATGTAAGCAATAATAGTATTCAATGTGGGAGCGGAAGGGCAGAGTGCTTAAGGTTTTGAAAATAGGACCGAAAGTTTGCGGTTAACGAGGAGAAACAAATTTTTTAAAATGCACTACGATAAGCTAATTCATATTGCTACAGCTGAGACGGAACTATCATCGGACAAGTACCGATCTGAATGAACGCTGGAAAAAGAGGCAGATAATGTCCTGCTAATTGGACGACACTATAATGATCTATTTATTGCCGTCGCTAAAGGAACAGGCGCGCGAAAGCATAAAACTGCAGCCAAGTACACTTTAACAGGCGGGTTCGCTATTTCGGCTGTAAGACCATTCATGTCGACACACTGGGGTTGTTCCGATATGAGGCTAAATAATAATTTGCGGCAGATTTCTTGGGAAACGAGTGAATGCTGCAAACCCAATCACCTCGCTTGCAGAATTGCGGAAAATTAAACTCCCCGATCTATCATTTGTTTTCGGTTTGGCCTGGTAATTTTGCTACAGATACAAGGATGCGACTTTGTTTAAAGCCGTACTGTTCTTTAGGAAGTTTCTGATATTCAGAGCCAGTTTTCAAATTTGCCCAGGCAAAGATTTTTGAAAGATTATTTCAAGTAGCGAAGAGATAGAGCTGGACGATCACAAAAAATGTCAGAGCTACTTGACACTATGTTTAAAATTTGGCACGACGTGGTACTCTTAAAGTCTTGGGGAGCGTACTATCATAATATTATTTATAACAACGGCTATGTCAGGTCAACGCAGTAACTGACTACAGTGTCATAGGACAAATTTCATGTTAGTTGTTGCAGAATGTAATATAGGCAGAAACATAACTCAGATATATTCACTTGAAGTAAGGTCGGTTGCGAGGTTTTACTACAAAAAGTTATTCAATAGTTCAAGGTAACTTCAATATATCATATTGATAATTTTATGACGCTTGTGTATTTGTATTAATGATGGGCAATACTATTCCACGAAAATGCTGTGTTGCAGTGCCAGAATTATCCGAAACCGAGTTTAATTAACGTTACCTAAAAATGTTTTAATACATTCAGAATTATATTTTGGTTTAACTAAGTGTAACTACGGGTCTTATTACTGTGCATATTTACGATCCGCGAGGATGAATGGCGCTCATTAAACGTCGTAGTAAAAATATAGAATCTTGCGTAAGATCAATTTAAATGTGCACAAGTGTTACAAGATTATAATTATACAAACGAGCGAAAAATAAACAATGTCATAAGATCTAGTTTATTTTGAACATCAGCGTCAAGAGCTAAAGTGTTTCGACTTCCACGTCAGAAACTGCGCCAGCAATATATCAAAGGACTGACTTCCAGCCCGAAATAAACTCTCTTTTTCAGGATTCGCGCCTTTTGTCCAGTGGGCAAAGCTGCCATTTCCCCATCGCAAAGACCACTTTTATAATTACTGCTACAAAAGGTCGTGAGCTCCACTTTCCGCTTTTTAGCCACGCATCTTTTGTATATGTACCTTAAACATGACTGGGATAGTGGTAGCATTTTTCCTCTCTTGTAGGAGACATGTCTTTCTTGCTTACCAGACGATGTAACGTTCTGATGTCTCAAGCGATGATCACTACCATTGTGTGCAAGTTCTCCGTATCACTAGCACGTGAATTTTATGTGAGCTAAAGTTATTCTTTCGCTTCTAGCACCTTTTCGCCCTTTATTTTGCCACGAGGATAAAGCCTTAACACAAACTCATTACTGTGGGAATACCTTAAAAAAATTCTGCAAAGCCTTTTGCACTAATATCCGAATTCCAACAATTCAAACATCCACAAAATTGAGCTGTAATGTCAGTATCGCTACCATAACCATCTCCGAAAACGCACATTCAAATACTAAAGTCATAAATACATAAAACTTATAAAGACTTATAAAAAATTATAAAGAGTTATATAACGCGATGTGATATCACAATTTTTCAATGCAAACTTTGTGTCAACAACCCCGTCTATGTTATATCGCGTTCAACCATATATTGTTTTATATAATTATATATAGCCATATGCCTATTATTACGGTCCCAAAACATTGTATATACTGTATTTTGATTGGACAAGTCTCTTTTGATGGTACAATAGCTGGTGCTAATTGCTTTAATTTACAGCAAAAGCATGTTCATTTCATCTGCATTCGCAATGATGTTGGTGAAGATGGCGAATTTTATATTCAACAGGAAAAAGCATCTGCACACCACCACGAAAATCTTTCAAAGAAATGAATTAAACAAAGGGGTTTAATAAAATATTCTGCCTTTTCCCCAGATATAAAACTAATGGACTTCTTTATAGCAACATTAAAAATAAAGTTTACATTAGAAAACTTACAACAGTGTAAGAATTAAAAGCTTTAATTTAAAAAAATGCGCCTCAATACCAAAAGTTTGTTTCATTACTGTTACCCATTGCTATCAGCGGTGTATAGACCAGAACGGTATACCTTTTATACGTCTGCCATAAAATTATTTCATCCGTACTTTTTTTTCATTTTAAATGTTTAACGATACAAGTAAGAACTGAAGTGATAATCATGCAAGCTGTGTACATTTTCTAAAACGTCTTTTATATATATTAATTTGATTTGTCAAAAAGTAAGAGTTTTTTCAATTGCTCTTTTTGTCTTTGATCCTTTTCATGTCCGTTATAATTGTGCGGCAAGCCATTTTATTTTAAATACATGCTCCAGAGATGGATCTTTCAAATGGAAATCTTATTTACCGGGGACAAGCCAGCAGGATCTGTTATACGTACATTGCGTTTCATTGTATATCAGCCTGCTAAATGATGGAGCAAACATGGCGGTTGATAATCATCTATACGTGGCCCAACTGCATTGAGTGAACGAAGCTACCCACCTGAACTTACCCACGCAAGACGAAAACATTCTTTTACATGTCCATCAAATAGGACAAGAAAATTTCTAGTGAAATGAATTATCTAATATACCTGGGAAAAGTCCTAAAGATTGGTAACAGATCGTAAAGAATAAATTTCTTACTTGAAATACATGTTTGTTCTCAAGTGAAAAAGTGCCAATACTTTTTTTCTACATATATATATATATATATATATATATATATATATATGTATATATATATATATATATAAAAAACGATTCCGAAGATTTGCGGCCCGCAATACCACCTATTGCCGAGCCCCTTATTGAAACGGCCAGATGGAACAGAACGTCACATCTGTGTTATTTCTGAATAAGATTAAATGCGAATTGAACCGACAGACATCTGCGGCAACGTTTACTCTATGTTACCTATGAGAAAACAGCTTTAAGCGTAAGAAGCTTTGACTCCCATTAGTTGAGGAAGCATAACAAACGTTTTGACGTCCAAAGGCTGTACGCTTTGTCTGTCGTTCATGCAACAAACTATTAATATCTATTAAGTGCTGTTAATATTAATTTTAGGCACATCAAATGATAAAGGAAGTCTCTAGAAACTATGGGCGCATGTTATATGATGAAAAGTTTCTTATCATTTTTTATTTTAGTTACTTCTGTCTATCACTTTTGCTTTTGAAAGAGCATCAAAAATACCAGTATGTAAAGCACCGAATGTTTCAAGTAATATTCGTAAATCGTAATTGGTATTTACAATTACTGTATTGACACTTTAGTTTGTCCTATGTGTCAGTCCTTTGATTAACACAGTTTTGTCGCGCAGTGTTGTTAACACATTATAATAATTGTAATCCATATATGATTTTTGCATTTGAGTAACGCTGATACACTAGTGTCCCCAGCAGCTTCCGCTGTAAGCCTACTAATATGATTCTCATAATATTGTGAGTTGAAATTTTATGCAAATTATAAAAATTTCCCATGACATGAGAAAAGGGTTTATGATATTTCTTTACTGTCTAATTTGGTGCATGGTCTTACTATATTAAAAATACATATTCCAAGGCTGAGTTTTCACTATGAGCCCTCCGCGCGCAGCCAGTCCACCTCTGGAGTTCTAAACAATCGCTTATAGAGTCTAATAATCGTAGTAATAATCGTTGGGAGAATTTGAGCACACACATGTGAGACAAATACATAAAGCGAATATAGATCTATGCAAATTAATCTAGAGTAAAACGCGCTTATGAATAGCGCTAGTTTATGTAATAAAATAATTGACTTGCATTTGTACAATTCGTCTTCTTGCAGCTATCTTCATTACACACCCTACAATATAGTTAATTTCAAAATAAACGGAATAAGCGGAGCATGTGTAGAAAATCTAGTTTCAAATATCTTAAGTGACGGCAAGGCACACACCTGTTCTCCGCCAAAACCTCCAGATGATATGGAATCATTCAAATGCAAACTCCCACCTCCATTAGTTTCCCTGGAAAACAAAAAGCCAGTTTATAGCGCAGCCCGACTAATATTTAAATTTCATTTTTTTAATAGTTTAAACTCCATTGGTGACAATATGGACGTTCGCTCTCAAAAGCTTCAAAAAATCGGTAGTAATAATATAATAATAATGATTATTACTATCCTTATTATTATTAATATATTTATATATTTAGCCTACTGTATTAGCAACTCCAGTTGCGTTGACTTAACGTGTTTCTCTTTTATTCTTTAATTATTGTTATCCCACTGCGGCTAAATAGACGCTGCATTTCTTTTTGTAAACTGTTACCAAGAGCGACTAATTTAGCTTGCAGCTTACGGTCCACATTTGAAGTGACATGCTTTGAAAACTTCTGTACAATTCTCCGGTATCCTAATGGATTCCATGGTCCCGATTACATTTGAAATAAACAGGTATCTAACATTGAGCTTGGCGTGTATCCTCTCTGCATCCGTGTATTTGGCTACCTATTCCGTAGAGGAATCGCTGTGATAAATCTAACAGCGGGGCAATTCGTATAGAATAGTCATGACCCACAGTAAATATTTGCTTCAAACCTATAATAGTAATACTTGCAAATATTTTGAGGTTATCCATCTAGCGCTAGAGTATCTCTGCTATAATACTGTATGATTTTTCTCTCTTCTTTAGACTTCTACCAACAACCTATTGTGGTTTCAACTAGCATCCATAGGTTAAGCTTCTGATAAATTGATTTTTTGACAGCATGATTAAGATTTTGCCGGGTTCCCGTGATAGTGCAGTGGATAACGTGATTGCCTGTTAAACTTAAAGACACGTAGTAGTCTAGGCTCGGATGTGGGCATAGATGCACTTCGTTTCGCGTTGGGAGCCAGTCGTCTGAAGTAAAATCAAACGGCTTCAGTGCCTGACGTAAAACACGAAAAACATTGATATGGATTGAGCTTCTGCATCATCATATGCCAATACGTAAAATTCAAAATCAACAACCATATCAACCAATTTTTTTAGGGCTGCGTCGAGCAATCACCACACACTGAACCACCCTACAGTACCCTCCCAAGGGCAAGATTAATGCAGTCGATCTTGACAGATCGTCCTGCTGCGCACCAAAAAAGCGGATCTATTATATACCAAAATAAAAGGGTAGACCCCTTGTAGTTATATCATATTATGGGAAAGAAGGCTGTAGTATGATTCTTATAGTACGATATTACAAATAGTATAAAATGCATTTCAAAAAGAAAGGCCAACTAAGACCAAGAGTAGACCCAGAGCAGTTGTAACGACTTTTGTTGCATACACGGTAACTTCAGCTCCGTCCTCAACTACAAAACAGGTTTCGTTCGGTAATACCCCATCCGTCTTTAATTTTTTACTGATTGTAAGGGCGATCTTAGTAAAAACTCTGTGCAAGCTATGACTGTACGTTATTGATTTGGAACCATATTCTTTCTTCAATGCCGTGAGATTCGGATTATTATGATCGTGTTGTGAGAAGGAGGTCGTGTGCCGTTTAAAATCGTTTCTAGAACTCGCGAGATTTTTGTAAAAGTTATATGTAGTACGTAGTAAAGTGCGACCTATCAGCTTCGAAGCCCAAAGCACATGTGGAACCGTAGTTAGAATGATTATTCGTTGGGAACGAAAGGCATGCGTTCGAATTGAATCTCGAAAACTTAAAACGTCCTGTTTCACTTAAAGAGACAGACGGATCTTTACTTTTAGCTCTTGTTCTGTGTTCTCATTAATGAATGTAAAACAATCATTGTATAATAAAGCGAGTGTTAAAAAACTAAGTCGCTCGTGACTAGCCTGCTTTGTGCTGAGTCATTTCTCTTAAACAATATTGTTAGAGCTCGGACCATTCCTTGGAGCTAATATGCGCGCGGTTAAGAAGCTCTTAATACACCATACATTACGAGTTTATGAGCTTGCTGTAGATCATATGGCTTAACCTGGAATGCTTTGCTTGGTTTACTGGGTTCTATTAATAAATATAAAAAATATGATAGATTAATGCCAAAATCTCTAGTGCGATCTAGATTTCATATATTGCTTGGAGCCGATTATGTTATTCCGATAGCCGATTATTCCTTAGAGGTTTCACCAAGAGCCTTGAGGTTGCCCCCCCCAGAAACTGCCGCCAGGAAGAAGTCTTTCAACAGGTGTTGTTAACCGTATCGAAACGCAATGCTGCCTATAAAGTAATAGCTATGGAATGGAGCTCTCTATTCTTATAAAGGTCTGTCAATGTGTAGCAAAAGCGTGTTTTTCACACTGTCAATCTATGCAATTTTAATGGCTGATAGGCTGACATGTCTCATAGAGGTTATACGAAAAAAGATACGAGTAATTAATGTTTCATAAACACTATGCTTACTATGTTTTAGTTTATGAAAGTGATTGTTTTTACATGATTCTCGGAACCTCAAGCTACAATATGAAGCCGGACTTTTTCGAACATTCTGTAAGGGCACTGCATTATGAAATACTATCTACCCCAAGCACATCAGGAGCAGGAGCATCAGTCAAGCGGATTTGGGAAGGTAAGATAGTAGAAATATCAACTATTGTTTATGTACAATTTTTTAAGATATTTGATATTTATATGATCAAGATTATACCTCGAATAATTTTTGAAATTTGATTAAGGATTTCCAGAATACAGTCTCTCCAGATATTCCAGAGGAACACGACAAGTCGAACGTCTAAATGTAGTGATTTTTCTACAAAATTGCCTTCTGGCGTACTATCCATTTAATTCTTGACTCATTTGCTGCCTTAACATCTTAATAAATAACATCATGTAATCAAGAATCGAAAACTTTTTACAGTCCTTAGCCGATATTATCATCTACCCTTTTTTTGGCATTAACAAAGCTTGTTCTACATTGCGTGGCAACCTGGACAAGGTGTTATCAGAGCTACTACTTTTCTCAAACATGAATATAACGACAAAATTTAGTTCTGCTAACTATCGGATTCACCATGCAATCCTGCATGTAAATGTTTTGGAACTGACCAAATTGTTCAGTGCAATGTTCAAATGATAGATATAAAAGTGTTAAAATATTCATGTCTATCTGTATAGTATAAGCGCAAATCGTAACTTCAGAAAAAAAAATCGATTTATCGAAAATGAGAAATAAGGTTAGTCTTTGACGAAGTATCTCTTAAAAATCCATGATAACTCAACGGATATTTAAATTTGCATTGTCGTCAATATAGTACGTCATTCAATAGCTGGTAAAAATGGTCTTAATGCTTTGGTAAAGTCAAATATACCCAGCGTATTTGAAATTTTGAACTTCTGGATTTTTTTGGATCGTTTTATTTCACAATAAGTAAGCAGCGAGGTGTCAAATTCCGAGGACTTTTTCAACATGGAAACGAAGAAATACTAACTGTCATTAAATATTTCTACTTAAAGTTCTACAACCGATAAAAATGTGACTGAATTTAGCCTTAAGTGACCTTCACATATCGTCTACAAAAATTTTTCGTTCGCTTTTTAGTCTTCATGGTATTTGAGGGAGCACACATTATAAACTACTCTTTGTCATCCTAATAAAATGCTTTGGGAAACGTCTTTAACATAAAAATAAATGAAGGTGTTGATAATGGAAAAGAGGTATAGTGTTGCAAGGTGATCTTAGTTCTGAATTTCGTGCTATATTTGATAAGATCTGCGCAAAGTAACTGCCGCGCTGGCTCACGAAAGATCATAGCCAATGTACCTAGGATCTTTCAAGTGACACCTTAGAACTGTCCAAAAGAATATAATTCAGTGCCTGCGTTTAGTTATAAATGGAATACGAATCTATGGTTATTCTCCTGATTCAATTATAATAAATTCCCGAATAATTAAATAATAATTATAAAAATGATATAAATTCCTGTAGCAGCTGCTGGGTATTGTGGAGCCATTTTGAGCCACTTTAAATCACTGCTATAAAATGGCCTCACGTGAGCGAACAAAAAATGTCGCTCTACTAGGGCAGTGCCGTCCGCAACTAGCAATTTTGAAGGTTGTTTGATTAGGATGATTAAAATAAGTTAAGCCAAGCGTGACAGGCTTACTTACAGTGCTTGGTATACATATTTACCAGAGACTGGCAACAACCTTCCAGTTTCAAAGCGAAAATTTGTAAGAAGGAAACCAAGACAACAAGCAATTTGGAGTCTCTTTTTAAACATTCTTAAAATCGTTTTCAGGAAAAAGTTCCAGTCTAATTTATGGGCAGGCGAGTAGCTTTATTAGACGAATATATTTTGTTGAGTTTTTTGAGTTCCAAAAATCGCCTAAATATGTTTTTTAGAGACCAATCTTATTTTCTCTATTGAATATAAATATGAGCTTTGTTTACAATTTGTGATACACTATTAATACAAAACTTCTTTGGCCTTTTGGTATCAATACAACTGGTGCACACCAGATTTTACTAAAAGGAATAACAGTTAAAAATGTAATATAATTCCCATTCAAATACACTAATTGCTTTGTAAGATAGTAATTATACTAAAAATATATTTTTAAAAAGCTAATTTTATTTAATCAAAATAGCTAGTTTCTTTTTAATCGATACGACCAGCATAGCCCACGCGGCGTGCAGTCTATATTTATCATCGAGTGATACAAGTCAAGTACTGATCATTCAAAGCCAACTCGTTATTTTCAAAGACTCAGAAGGCTAGTGCTATGACGAAAGAACGGGCCGGCATATAAACACTAGAAATTGGTTTGATTTGTAGCGCCTTATTTAGGAAAGAATGCCGAGCGCCACTATCATGCAATTGGTAGAGTTCAGAGTAGTTGCCGTGCCATCAAAGCAATTTAAATTCGTAATAAAGCGTTACCACAAACATGGAATAAATAACGGGTTTTTAATACTAACAGGGCACAACATGAAGGATCATAATACATCTTTACTAAATACAGCAGTAACGAATGGTGAAATTGATTAACGTATCATGCGTTTAGAGGAAAATTATAAACTACAAGCGAAGAAGGTGTAAGGTGAAATAGAGTGAATAACAGATAAATATAATAACTACAGATCATATGTGAAACGAATAATAATTTATATTCGCCTTGAGAAAATAACTCGTAAATTGGATAAATCGTCGTTCGCGTTGAACGTTGAAGACATAAGAAATCGTGCGTATTTGGTGGCCCAAGGGAGCTCGTCTCTTTTATTATTTCAAAAAGATCGAATACCTTTGGAAGTCTAATTCGCCTGATTTCGACCGAATGATAACGCAGAAAAACAAAAATGAAAAGAATATTCTTCGACTAAGCACTTATCACTATGTAATTCAATCAAAAAATTTAACTGATATGAATATTAATTTCTAATCAAAAGGTTGCCCTTCAGGCTTCACGAAATATTCGCCGATAGTCCAAAGCATCAATTTGCACATGCATTTAGCATGACATAAGAAAATCTTTTTATGATACGTACGCAGGGATATCGCACAAACATAGAGACAAGCTGATTGACAAATTTTAGTTTTGTTGCTCAAGATAAATCGCGTGAAATGAAGTTAAGAGAGTGAAGTATGTTTTCAGAGGTTAAGAATATTTTTATTTTAAGACTAAGGTATATAATTGCGCCAAATGCGGGATCAGCTTTTTCGGTGACAATTGGTAATTAATTAGTTCAGCTAAGAAAAAGAAAGCGTCAATTAACTGACAAAGTTGTAAACTACTTTGACAAAAGACAAAAGGTTTTTGACCATGAGAGTTCAGAGTTCATCGAAGCGATCAACCTTGTTGGAAATGTAGCTAGTTAAACGAAGCGATTTTTTCGGCAGTCTACACATTAATAGGACCCAGGGCTCTCGTTTTAAATTATGTGAATATGTCCATATGGAGTGAAGAAATGAAAACTTGCGGCTTATTTTTTGCGTAGAATTATGCGTTCGCTTTCTTCGGGTCCCCAGATTTACTTAGAAATTAGGCCAAAGGGTCGCCGAATTCCTTCCAGAAGGGAATTTTTGTTTCATGAGTTTTCAACAACGTACGTTGCTCTATGATAACAATTCAGCAATTCTGAAAGTATTTACATCGTTTCTTTACTAATTGGCCAAGGTTCCAGACCGCTAAATGGATAACTACATTGTAGAAAACGCTTGCCCTACATCTGACGTAGGAACTTGACTGTACAGCAGTAATATTTAACTTCTCAAAACTTCTATCTGCTTCAGTATATCTTTTCAATAAACACGGACTTTTAACACGCTTGACAAGCGGTATTTTTAAATTGTATGTCTATATTGAACAAATGTACTTATTTGTTCATATGTTTACACAGTTGTCTGGTAATTTCTTACCCGAAAATAAGCTTTTTTTTGTAATCAGTCACCTTTTGTATTATCATTCAAGCAAATCTGTCTGATGTAAAAGAGCGACCACACACTATTGAGAGTCACTGTCCATGCACTCAAAAGCATCATGGATCGGGACAATCATCAGCCAGCAGTACCACGGAAGAAAATCCATTACCCGAGAACGACAATTGCAGTTTATGTTAAAGACAAGGTACTGTTCAGCTGGGATAATCCTTGTTTTATTCGATGGAGAGCTGATAACCCGGCTACAAGCACGCGGACTTCGGAAGTGTTGACAACAACGAATTTACGTTATGGTAACATTATGCAACATATTAAAATGCACAAGCGGAGAATATAGAGAAACCTAAAGAAAAGGTACATCTGCATATTTTTTGGAGTGGAATTATTGGGGTTTAAGGCACAAACGCCTTCAGGCCTGCTAAGGACATTTAGAAAGTAGCTATTTGAGCTCACGGCGAATGATCTGTTCGTACTTCAACATGGAAGTGCGAAAATAATATAGAATAATAAAACTGCGTAAGAAAAAATGAACATTATTAATTTTGCGACAATGAATACCTGTGACGGTTTTGATGCTGCGGTGCAAAATGATGACCTGTACTCGATGCAAGACCTGAGAGGGTAGTACTACACATTGTGAGTGAAGAGCTGTTCTGTGTACCTCCGTTTCCGCTTCCAGTATTTCCTACAGCGCTGTTAGTGTAAGGTTGTTTATCATCACTTTCTGGATGTTGCTGACCCTGCGTATTACTGTCCATTGCTGGTAACTTTAAATTAAGCTTGTTTTTTCCACTGTGCTTCATCATGGCAAATTTTTTTGTTTTTGTTTGTTGATCTTCGGTTTTTGGTGGTTTTCCTGCACCAGATAGCACAAATACAGAAAATCGTTTTGTCGGAGGAGAATATTTATTTATTATTGATTGATTAATTTCATACATCACGTACATCGAGGGGCATATTGGAACATAATGACAAACATTTATTTGTGAATCCTAAGTTTCGAATATCTAAACTAAGTAGATTTTGACAATTCTTGTTTGGAGGTACCCAAGTTCTTGAAACTTCTTTTCTAGAAGACTGTAATTTTCTTTGCTTATTAGTGATAATTGTTTAGTATGTAGAAACTCGCTTCCCTTAAATGACACTTTTAATTAGGTTCTGCATTATAGGCATAGTACCACTAAAAAACTATAACTTTTTTCATTATGTTACGACTTCATTATGTTTCATTATGTTACAACTGTTGAAATCGGCTAAGCATATTCGAATCTACGATACTTTGCATTTAGGTTGTCGCCACTAGCAGCATTGATAAGAAGCGTATTCTATTATATAAGTGTTACTAAAAAAGAAACAGTTCTGTTCCGATAACCGGTGTGCCATACAAATGTACCAATTAACCCAGTCCTAGTAATATCTAAATATCTGCAATTTTGATCCACATTCAAATTTATCGACATCTATAATGCTACTGATTTCTTTAAAATCCTTAATGAATACCCTTAACACAATTTCGCTCACCACTAGTGATATTTGACGCAAGATTAGCAAAGTAACTCACGCTGATCGTTGAGATGAGATGAGAGAGAGCACCAAGAGCAGCGACCGACTGTTTGTAAGTTATCTACCAGTGGCGGGCGGCTGGTCTGTCATAAACACAAGGAGATCCTTTCAAGACGTCTTCTGTAATTTAGCGAGCAGAAAGTGCGGAATGTAATGACAGCATCCGCGTTCTTGTACAATAAAATTATGACCATTAAGGGCATGCGTTAGATCGAAACACAATAGTCCTGAATATATATAATTCTAATCAAACTTTTAAAGCATGGGCTATCTTAATTTAATTAATATAATTTCCCCAATGTGCATTATGCTAAATAGGCAATTTTTAGACTTATGGCAAAACATTTTCAAGAACCCGCAACAATACTATCGGTGCTTTCGATTTTTTTCTGATTGAACAAGAGCGTACAATTTGAAAGTAGTAACTGGGCATGCATTTTTAACCACTATTGATGAGTGTCCAACTTCGCTTGTTTTAGTAACACAATTGAAATCAGAAACAAAGTTAAATATTTTCGAAAATTAAGGATATCTCAAAGTAAAAGTCCATCCCGGAGTTCTTTATAGAAAGCGGTAGCCGTATACATAATTAATCCCGGTTAGTTTAAGCCTCTTGTGCCAGTCCACTGTTCTATATCATATAGGTCCCTAGTCATACTAAAGAATTTGTAATAAACAGAATTGTAAGTTCTCTATTCAGTTATGAAACAAGCGTACAGTATAATAACAAAATTGGCTTATTAATGTAACTCAGAAATTGAGGTTTAGGTACATACGCGTGCATACGCGGCATATGTTAATCTGTTCTAACTGTTGTGACCTTTAAAATTTGTACACTAACCTATATTTTCTTCAGTGAAGAACGACCAAGGCCCATCTCGAACGATAAATCCCTTGCTTTTAAGTAAAAATGGTCTCTTCGTTCTGCGAAATTGATATTTTCCGTACTATTAGAAATCTGTTGATATTTTTCGGCAATGTTTTGTCGTATTTTTTTTAATGTATTTACCGTAAAGCTTTGAGCACGGCTGCGTCCAGTAGCACTTACTTTGCTAATATATATGTATATATATATGTGTCGATTTACTATACTACTATATTGCCTGAAGTGACGCCTAACAACCTAAATACCGGATGTGAAACTCGAAGCATTTTACTATATTACTCAAACAGGACATGTATCTGTCCGACCCAATCGCCCTCGTAACGCTGACCTTTTTGTCAGCTAGCAGCTTCACCCCGAGGTGGGCTGTGCGTGAAATTTTTCTGAAATTTGGTTAGAAGCAATTCCTCCTCCCATAAATCGTAATTCTGATTCTGGGAAGTGACCTTTTAGTGATTATTCCACAATTGTTGAGCGTTTCTCAACAAGTTCAATTGAAAAGCCGTTTCTTATTTCAGAACATGCCTATTTCTCATATTTCCAAATTTGGTAATAGAATAGTGATGAAATGTTGAAACTGATGTTCTGTTATTAATATTAGAAATTGATTAAATATGTCAATATGGAGATTGAGAAACGGAATTATTTATTATTGGAAAACACGAAGGGTACTTTGACTCGCTAAAATTATGATTACAAGAACACTTCAATGAAGCAGCAAGTTTACTGTGCCAACAGAGTTTCTTTGGTCCTGCACACGTTTCAATTATTATTTCAATGCAAGTCTCCCAAAGTTTCTTTCTGTTTAAAAAAAAGAATTAAAGTCCACAAAACAAGCACAACGGTGTGGTTTGGGGCTATTTAAAGATGTAATTGTTATTTTTAGCGACGTGCAACAGGTATCAAGATTATACAAGCTTTTCAATGAAAAAACCGGGACTCTTTTATGGCGACGGATTTGATGTTTTGTGGGCACCATTCAGCACAAATGCTCTATCACATCGCACGGTGGTTCTGCAGAAACAACTACCGACCAACTAATTTCAGCATTTTCGATTTCACTTTCTGTTTGCATTAGAACGCACTACAGAATGTCAAAAAAAAATGGAAAGTTCCTTCCGCAACGTTTGCCGGTATCACCTGTTTGGTCTTGCACCCCGTTAACACGCTACATTCTTCCACAGAAAGAACTGTGCACAGTAAAGCCTGGTCAGGCTTAGGTAAAGCCTCAAATTAGCGCCTCGTGCACGGCCTAAGGTTAACCTTAGAGTTAACAAGTAAAGTGCTACATGGCAACTGTAACAAAGCTGTAGGTTATTCTAACCAGAACTAATCACTCAATAAGGGTAACAGGATAACTGCACTAATGTAAGGAAATTACAGAACCAGAGAAATAGAGTTACTATAGAAGGATAGCTGGAAGGGTATTAGAATTAGGTACTGTAGGATCTCAAAGCAATTGCAACACTACAACTGTAGAAGGGTAGGGCTGCAGTTGAACTATAGTTTTCCTTGGGTTAGCTGTAGCGCAAAGCAACTTCGCTTGCAAGTTTATGGAATAACTGTAGAGGAATAATAACTTTTTAAGATCTAAAAAAAACATTTGACAGTGTTTACAAAAGGTGACTAGTCAGCAAAGTACACTCCTTCGGCCTAAATAGCTCAGCCATAAAACTTACCAGCTTATACTTGGCCAGTAGAGGTCAGGTGGGACAAGGCCTCAAGTAAATTAATTCTTGTCAAAATAATGAATACATGTAACGAACCGTGGGGTTCAGTTACGATACCTATCTTATTTAACATTTTGATAAATGACCTCCATGAGTTCTATACAACAACCTCTGCCGCAATACAAACAAAACTAATATATTGGAAGTTTAAGTGAACTAAGCACGCAGGTTAATTTAGCTGCCTAATGACTGCACGCTCAACAATAGAAATTTACTGAAAATGTTAAAAGAAATCATTCACAATCATACAACTTTATTGAAGTACCCACTTTCGCAACGATAAGTTACTCTTATTGTCCGTAAATAAAAGATGTGAATACTTATGGGTACTTGGGAGTAATATACCAAGCTAATCTTAAATATGACATACATATTTAAGCTATACAGTAAAAATTAAAAATCGGTTGTGTCATATTACGTAGATTAAGGAACATACCTTAAGCCGAATTTAGCAGAAAAAGTACTTCTCATTGATACAGTTTTATTGCTCAAACAGCGTGATTTTATTCGGAGTAAATTGCGAAACAGATATACAGTCCATCACCAGTTTCTAAAAAAGTCCTAGAAATATTTTCAGGACGCAGTATTTACCACCAACACAACTTAGCATGTTAACGAAAGTTTCCATATTTGTAGCCTTTACATGTATTATTAAGTTATCCGCACGAATAAATGCAAATTAAAGATTGGGGTCACCTTATGACTAACTATCACTAAAAGCCTATTAGCTTATTGGCTGGAAACAATGACAATTTTAAGTCGAGCTGTTTATGCACATACAAGATATGTGCAGTGCGTTAACCAATTAATTTTAATTGGCACATTTATTTCAGAAGATATTTCTTTAGTCATTGGAACAGAAATACAGGCTGATTGCACTAACCTGACAGAATCACTAAGAGTAAGAAATTAGCAGAAACAAGATGATATGGTTACTGACTCAAATGGTTGCAGCAAGATAAAATAATAAATAGAATGAATCAATTATTAAAACATATTTATCTAACAGCTGTTCTAGAGGCAAGACTGTCCCTACATTTCAATGAGAAAACAGGATGAATATACAATACATTGATTTGACCAACGAAGTATAATTACTGTAAATAGATCATGATATTGATGCTGCAGGAGATTTTCAATCGGGCGACCATCGGTTTGCAATCGAACCTTCGTCCATGGTTAGCTAGATGTGATGCGAATGAGATAAATTTCTATGAGAATGAGCTCATATATAGCAGCAAAAGGTAACGAATTAGGTAGGCTAGAATAACATGTGTACTCGACTTATAATTTAGCTTAGTCTGAAAGTAACAACGACGAATCAGATAGTTACATTAAAAGAAAAAATATGGCGCCAGGTAAATTCATCATTAAAAGTCGATTATATATGATCGACTATCTGTAACCTCTAAATCATATTCTTAGAGTAGTCGCTTTAAGATAATGTTTTGCGGCTGACTAGTGTTTCATCCTGGGGTGGGCTGAATGCCTTTTCCGGGACATCTCTTTCCCCCATAGACCATAAATGCAAAGTAAGGCAAGCCAGCGATCGATGGGAATTCGTGAGATGTTTATATGGGATAGTGGTTTATTTCTTAAGACTCTATAGGATACACACAAAATTGAGTCACACTTATGTTCTTCACCTGTCAATCAATTCGTCTAATTTATACTTGAGAAGAGTGACAATATTATATATCTTTTATTATAAACCTAATTAGCCTCCTACCGCTAGAGGATTAAAATCAAATTTCAATAAAAGCAACACAAGCACGAAGGGAAGCCCGTAGGTTCATCTAGTATCTACTAAAGCCCCTCTGTCTGCTTGTCTAACTTAAGTCGTCTGTGCAAAGTACTCGTCTTTTTTACCAAGTAACAGGGCCACAAGGAAGTTGCAACAGGAAAACACGGTCACTACAGCATGCTAATAAGATTAGAGTAGCTAAGTAAGTAATCGTTGTAGCACAATAATGCGATCCAAAATAACGAGGTTACTGAAAAGTATAATGAATTGATTGAATCGGTGAAAGAAAATACTGTAACGGGACAGCTGCTACAAGAAAACACAATTTTCCGCAACAACGACAGGTTTAATGAAAATTGCTACCAAATAATTATAGAGATATAGGCCTGCTATTAAGTCGCAGTACATTATAGTGACCTCCGTATATAACCAATCCAATTCGTGTATGTTATAATAGGCTGACGAAATAAGAGCTAAAGCTGCAAACGAGCTTGGTGGAGCGGGATAATTGGTAATAAGGACGGTAAGAGCAAAATAAAGCGGTAGTAATAGAGGTAATACCAATGTGATAAATGTTGATGTGTAGTCGAGTTTTACATTAGGTCGGTCTAGTTAAACCAATCAATAGCAAAAATGACTTAAAATATACTTTAGAATACGTGGTTCCTTTTTATCAGCTGATTTGCAATACAGATATTTTAGCCCATTAGAAGTGTCACTATACTATATACTTATAAAGTGTGAAACAAATAGAGACTTTAAAAACTTCTTCACAACTGTGCTGGTAAAAGACCCTTTATTATTCGACAAAGTTCGATGTAAGTTGCTAACATTTCAAACAGAGCTCTTAAGAACTGAGAAGTTCTACAGAGTAAAATACAATATTCCTGTCTAAAAATTGCATAGATATTATGATGTTTGCATCTACCTATGCGTCGCATGAATGCAACTCATAATACTAAATAAAGAAAAATCCGTTTCAAGTTCCTGATTGCCTTACCAAAACTGAACCTTTCAAACCAAAATTGAGAGCATGTAACTCAATGTTGTGATATCTATAAAACTGTCTCTACATCATATAAGCCGCTGCATGTTGTGTTATTCTGTAATATATGGACTCTTTCTTACTAACCGTTCAGACTCTTTGTTGTATTCAACACAATTCAGATCACAAGACTTACTGCACAATTTTAATGAATAAAGAAAATTATTTGAAAAAAGTTTGTAACTCGAAGCTGTCCCTGTATTTTTTCTCCGTCCTTCGTTATCTCCGCATTAGAGTCGTCACCGCCTTTTAGATCTATCGTAGCTATGTAAGCAACATTGACACAGATGTTTAATTGCTGATCGGTCTCAGTGTCGTGATCATACAGTTTGAATCAACTCCTTTGATTACCCATCATGTTCTCAGACATGGATTATGCACACCTAACTGTTAAAACAAATGATTCCGACAATGTTTGAATTTTTTATTTCCTATTACGTAATTTATGCTTTTAAAGCCTCATTACTGCAACAGTTTAAAGTGCAAGTAATAAAACATACATAAATTCATACATGTTTTCCTCTACTTCTGTTCGCTCCTTGTGTGGGGCCCTAATTATGTGTAACCTGTTCGTTAATTAATAAACATCAATTATTACGCTATGTTTCTGTACAAATTTCACCTCTTTTTAGTAGTCACTATTCTTTACCGAAGACGAAACGCTTTAAATATTTCAAGTTATACGTCCGATACTTGAGCCATTAAATACTGCTTCATTACCGTATTTTTAAGTGTAGTAAGCAAACATGTTATCACTACACTATTGAGAAGACAAGATAAAATGCGCTGACATGTAGCAAGTCCTTTTTTTACACTTTCACTATTTTTATGTAATAGGCCAGCTCTTCGCATACAGTGTGCCGCAACTTCCAACTTTATAACCTATAGGACTATACTAAGTCACGGCTTTTAAATAGCGCATTAATTGCATAACTACAGGACGCTGTGTAATGATGAAATATGAATGAATAGATTCTTTCGGTCATCACACAACATGCGTGATTTAAAGCCCGCCAATTAGGTACTTCTGGCGGTTTCTCTTACTCCGGATTTGAATCTATTGACGATCATTTTCTCAGTACCCTCTACAGCGATTTCCTACCAATGAATCATAAACGTTCACAAGGAATTCGACTTTAAAGTTATTCTTTCACCGTTTACTTGCTTGACGCTAAAAATGCTTCTTTAATTCATAGTAAGTAATTCCAACACAGTCAGGTGTCGACTGCTAAATATTACTAGATTGTTCGGAATATTTTTAACTTTTAACTTTTTGCGTTCTAACTTGGATTAATCTATTCTTATTTAAGCAACATGTAATTGCAATAGTTCTGTCTATTAACGCACGCTTTTGTCTTGATAGCGAAAGACATAACTCGATTTCCAATATAATTTGTTTTCAAGACTATTTGAAACCAGTTTTTGTAATTCCAAATGCAGATGTCTTATATATATATATTGCTATATATAACATTAGTACGTTTTATCAGGCTTTTATTTTTCGAATGATAATTGATACGACTAACGCATATTTTAAGCACCGTAATAATCATCTTTTCATGATCTGAGATTACAAATACAGCAGTTACTCAGGCGTGTGAATGCGTATTCTTAACTAAATCATAACGGGCTTCGCAAGCTACACAATACAAAAACGCAGCAGAGCACTACCCATAGCCCCACTTCTCACAAGTCTACTTAAAGCAGTTTTCTGACAGTTAATTCCGTTTTTCTTAGGTATTACCTGGTGTTTATTTTGGGCGTTCTTTCATTAGTTAAAGCAATAATAAAGCTAATGCATTCTCTTAGTTTAAATCTAATCGATCCGCTTCATATCAGATATTGATATATTGATTATAACCTTTATAAAGATTTTGGGCAAAATAAATATTTATCATACTTACTGATCGCTTGTCCTATTAATCAAGTGCCTCTTCTGTTAACTGCCGTATTATTTTGATTTAATACTTGCTTGTTCTAATCTCCCTTTTTGTTACTCTTTTTAACACTAGTCACTGTTAACACGCGGCTCATGATCCATGAGCTCATGTTATAATCATCGTTTCCCAGTACTGCATTAATTTTTATTTTGTAGTATCGCCAGGTATTTTTTTAATCAGGGTCTCTGCTTTGTTTTACTACATTTTTGACGACAAACATATGCGTATATTTCCACATCATCAACACTTCTCTTAACAAATATTGACTGGGCTTACCGGTTGTATATTAAAGGTAAAACACCTTTCGTTAACTCTAGTTCTCAATTTATCACTAAATCCATTGTAACTTTAATCAAGCTTCATTTCTCCATTTTCTCATAATAAATCTTGGTAGTGAACTACTACTATTTACTACTCTATTTGTTACACCCTTACCTGAATTCCACCAGGGTCCCACAGCAACTGTTTAATTTATGTTAGTACAGATGCAGGACATCATCGATGGAAATGGAATTAAGCATGACTTGTTATTCAGAATTAAATAGGTGTGGGTTCCACCAAATTAATGCATTTGCCTATAGAACTTTGCAAGAAACTTGTACATAAATCTCGACTGTGAAACTCCTTTTCTTTCCGCACCAATGTCGAGACATGTGACGTTATAAAAAAAAATTTTCAAAAATGGATGTACTGATAGGCAAAGAATATTAATCGTACTGCCAAAAAAAGTCGATATAAAAACGCAAAAAAAAACTGAAAGAGCTGTCAACGGTAAGCAAATGGGTAAATATTCATGATTTACCAGTATTTGACATACTGCCCGAATGTAATAGCTAAAAAGTACATCATGGCTGTGTAGTATCTTATGGAACAGCGCCTCAAGCACTCAACATATACGATCCGAAAGAGAGCAAAACAATGCGCACTGGAAACTGCAGTAACTGCTGGATAGTTGCAGAACTAGGTGAGATCATAACGTATTACTAAGCAAAATCTGCTCACCGACCGCACGGGCTCCTATTATTGCTAGAGCAGAGATGGTCTAGTAGTGTATACATCGATGTAACACGTATTTTAAAAGTCGCAGATAGCATGATAATCAAAATTAGTTAATCTGTCCTGAGACAAAAAAGGGATCGAGTCACAGATACCGCTTCCAAATATTTTTGAAACACGGGAGTGATAAACAGGAATAAAAAACGAAGGTACAAAAAGTAGATCTACATGTATATGAAAACCTTAATTAATACCCACATAATCCAGAAACTTAAGCACGTACCTGCCACAAAGACAAAAGTGTACGTAAAGCCTTTAGTGTATACCAAACATTCATTACAATTAATGTTTATATACGCTTACAAAGGAACTAAAGTTTTCAATAATAAATTAATTTTTGAAAACGGTACGCGGTATTTTTTAAATTATTAAAAATCTTAGCATTAAAAACCGCGTTAACTTAGGGCGAACGCAAAACTCATTGGATAAGCAGTTATCTGCTAAATACTATGGTGTAGACTGTAAAATTCGTCGCTGACTCAACCTGCAATTATCATTATGAGATATTTTTGGACCTTTTTTTCCTGCTCCAAAAGGCTCTCTCCACTTTCGTCTGCTCAGATCAACTCGCACGTAGTTGAGCTTTTGATTAAGTCGTCTAATAGCGGGTTTCTCCCGCCCTCCTGAGTGCCTGGGTCGTAGAACGAAGCGATAACGGACATCATAGGGTAAGAAGGTTCCTGTTCTTTTAGCACTGGATTGATGCTAGCAATTCAGCGGACGTCGAATGATAATCATAGTTTAAGCGAACGAGAAGGTTCGGCGATTTAGAGTGACTTTGTCAAAGCCATTCGTGAAATCCATTTTTGCTTCAGCATATATGTAAGTAAACCATGAGAAGCATTTAAAACTTTATGTAGCGTAATTTATCCCAACTTGATTTATAAAAACCGCATTACCAAAAATATTTTTGTATGCATTGGAAAAACAAGAGATTGCAAACGAATCACTGGGCGAAGGTCACCCTATATAACTTTTCTATAGTGGATTTAGAGGTTGAATAGTTAGTCGTGTGTTTTATTGCAGCAGGAAACGCATCACTAAAACAACAAAAAGCGGGCATAGCCGAGACAAATTCAACCTAATGAAAATATACTCTTAGCCAGGTGCTTCTTACGAGTCACGAGCCATTGGAGCAGGGGCTTCGCAATTCCGTATCAGGAATTTTATATTACAATCGATGCTCTTGTGTATCTGCTTGTGGCTTTTATAAAAAATGTGTCCAGTATGACGATTCAATTAGCTGTGTTATATTCAATTCCAAACAAGGGCCGACAGTCGACTATTGAGAGTAAGAAGAGTAGCGGTCATCTGGTACGACCGTAGCCGGTCAGTGCTTTATAGGGTTCGCTTGCATAGATGTTAAAGCCAATTTATTGCTACTAGCGCCATTTCTAATATGTTATGAACTAAGTGACAACAAGCCTTAAAATTAAAATACTTAAACAAAAAAGCCGATTCAGTCTGTCTAGTTACCGTAAATCGTCGTACATTGTTATGTTCCAAATAACGTCGATAGACTATTTGCTTGACCAAAGCCTGCAGTCTTCACGTATTTAGCCCGACAATCACGCCATTATAACATTGCAGCCCATTTTTGTAAATGAGGGGCACTCATTTTATTTAAAAGAATAAGCAAAGACTGGCGATCTGCAATAAGGATGTATTTATTATTGTGCAAAATAATTTAAGTTTTTTGCATGCAAATCTAAGGGTTCAGGCTTTTTTCTATTTGGTAATAGCTCTCCTCAATTCAAGTAAACGGTCTGCTTGCATGACAAACGACCTTTTCAGTGTCGTCCGGAAATATACACAAAACAGTAGCTCTGATTCCGTATGAACTTGCGTCATAACTGCTAATAAATTGGTAGTTGAATTATTACAACAGGAAATTAATAAAATCAAAATATTTTTTATTTTATAGAGATTTCGTCCTTTTATTTCATCCCTTCCTTTCAGTGGATATAGTACAGCCAATACAGTATACTTCATCTCGCAAAAAGTTACTGGTACCTTAATTTTTAAGTCGAGCTTTTAGATGTGGAGACAACTTCTCTAGTTTTCATTATGATTTTCTAAAGTTGTGTTTGGTGCAAGGATCGAGATATGCTATGGTTTCACTTCGACCTATATTTAACTTTGAACAGTGACCAATTTTATTAAAGAAAGCTTTTGAGGTATTTCGCGGAAACAAATCCTTTATAACGGTATCAGCTTCTACATATAAGTCTCTACCGTGTATAGCCAATAAAAGTATTTACTTTCAGTTAATTAACATTTACAATGTTAATATATCATCTGGTATTGCCAAAACTAATAATAACCGTTAAATATATCACTTAGTCTAGTTTATAATCTGCACAAAGCTTAATACGGCGTTATAGTAAGTGATAATAGAAGGTGTGGTGTCCTGTGAGTGATTAATAAGTTTCAGTCCATAGGTACGTGCCAGATTATCTATTCTAGTTTCCAGCTTCAGTAAATTGGCATAGGAAACAAATATATGGTCTTACTGAGCGTAGAGGCCCGATATGCATTGTATTTTAGGAAAAAATATGCCTTTTATTTCACAAAGAGAACTAAATCAAAAGAAGATACTTTGTTGTACTATATTTTTTTGATGTCATGAACGTGCTTAGATTCCATGGAAATATTAAACATACGGTGCTAGGTTAAACGCTTCCTAGATATTTCCGTTAATAGCCCTAACATTGAACCTATAATCATGAAGTTGATAAAGAGAATATGGAATATCTGTTTATTTTTTATTTACTGTCGATGCTGACCGTTCGATTGAAATAACTGTTTTTTAATAGAGGTGAGAGATTGCATCTACACTTTGTCGCTACTAGGTAGGTAAACTTAAAACCTAATTCAAGGCAGTGTGAGACGTGTTACCAGCGGTTGAATTTTTTTTGTTAGGATCTGCATTAATGTAGTACCAGAGAATACTGGACAAATAGATTGCCAGCCTGAACTCTCTGCTTTAACCAGACGAGCTTAGTCCTGCGATATGTGAGCTCGGTCGTGCGTTCCAGCGAGCGTCTTCCACGTTCTGTACTAGGCTAGCTTGTTGCTCTTTTTTAAGACTGTCTTCCATAAGAATACTTTTGGCGAACCGCTTTCTAAGAGCCCATTGCTCTTTATGACTCAGCCCGGCCTTAAACAGTCAGTTTAATGCGGTTCTTATTTTTCGGTTGGCATGCCTATTTTTGAGTAAATTGAAGGTTACGCAGGATGCTGGCATATGTCCAGCATTGTGTTCCTCTTTTGCTCCGATGCACGCAGTACGCCAATTGGGCTTTTGGTTGTCTAATTTGTAGATACAGCTAAAAGTTTCCACATCTAATGGCAAGTACGACAAGATAATACGTGCCTCTTTCCCTGCATTGTCTATGCAGTCTTTAAGATACGGGGTTACGTTCCGTAGGATTATTATAAAGTTGCATGCAAGAGCAACTTTCAAATTTTTGCTGGCATCTGCGGTCAAGTTGGACCGACGTTATTTCCTCTTTTCTGCTTTTAGGTCTCATAAGATGGCGGCTGGACTTCTATTCGTAAGGTGCTGACGACTCTACACGCCTGTATCACTTTTGGCGTAAAAATGCAACGGGTTTCCTGAAGTGAACTGCCTGTGTGCTTTTTTAAGTTCTTTATGAAAGCCCATACCATAGTGCTACAAAGTACGCACTCCAAATTAGCCTTTTAAGTTCTACCCTCGTTAGGGCTGTAGATGTTATAAGCATAATCAGTTGAGTGGCGACCGAGTCGCTTGGCTGATTTCGGCTATGTATGGGATTTTTTTCATGAACTGATCCAATAGATGTATAAGTATCTGATTCCAAAGAATTCATTAGGAGCCCATTGAATTTTATTTCGCGATTACGGCTAAAGCAAATGCTATATTGTGAGCTACGTTGTGCTTCTTAATAAGCGCTAATGTCAGGCCATCCTCTTCAGCCCAACATGATATATCATTCAAACCGTCGTTTACCCTCGCTTGGACCAATTCAGATATGTAATCCTAGATCCTTCCTGTATGCTATGAATTCAGTGCCTGCTGGCAGGTCCGTGAATCGCAGGGTCCCGCCATAAGCAAAGTTCTACGGTAATAGTTTGATGACGGACGCCTGGGCGAGACTACTTGTCATCTGGAAGGCCGTGCCATCACGGTGTAAGTTCTTGTTTTTGGAACAGATTAATATCACAATAATGTTGCTCTTTTTTAGTCTGCGAAAGATAAGTTTCCGCGAAAAAATGCTAAAAACATTTTTGATGTTAAACAGAATTATAAGGAATAAATCTCCAGCCTCCTCGTGAACTCCTTGACTGTTTTGCCTTTGATGCTACTTGGCGGACAGTCGTAAGCACTGACGGTATCTTGGTTGAGTATACGGTAATCAATACCGTTGTTTCGCAATGTTCTGAGCTGTAATTGAGAAGTAATTGCTGCAGGTCTCTTCGCTAACGTGTCAAAAAAACATATGGGCCTGTTAGCTATCTTTTAAGAATCAGCACTGCTTTTTCTTTCTTCCGGGTACCGGAAAATATTTCTTTTCGGAGAGCTTTCGAAAAAGTTTAGACAATCGAAGAATAGGCAAAACAAATAATAGTCGTTATGCATCTGTGCATCTAGCAAAGCAGCCGGACACTACTGCATATCGAAGAAGCACGTGGCTAGTTTATAAGGCGAAAGACGGCCTAGCGAAAAGTTACATGCGAGACTTTTTTATTGATGTTGTATATGATATGTTGAGATCGGAACGTAACAAAAGGTTTGAATATTAAATTTCTAGCATCTATACGATAAGCAAATAGGTAAGAACGAGTCTGAACAAATTAGCTTCTTATATTTTTATGATCGGCGGAACACGCAACTGGGAAAGACGTATTTACATTCGTCTTTTTGAGTTTGGAAGGCGTACGGAATTAACGTACAAAGTCTATTTCACGACTAATCTTTTGCAGATTTTCTACGAAAAAGCAACGGAGATGACATCGCTCAACAAACTTAATTTATTGGCACTGGATGTGGCGGGAAAGCGTGTGGTAATGCGAGTTGATTTCAACGTACCTCTGAAAGATGGAAAAATTACCAATAATCAAAGAATTCTTGCGGCTTTACCTTCAATTAAGTACTGCCTTGATAAGGTAACAATTAAGAGCAGAATATTAATAGTTATCAGTTTACTTGTACTCTTAAAATCAGAGAAAGGCCCTTATATATCTTACCAGATGTTTTCGTAACACATTATATGTTTCTATAACAGTTGTTTTCTTATAATACTTTATTTTTTGCTAAATTGGCTAAATTTTGCCAAGGTTATTTGAAACTACCAATTTTTGGGATCCAATAAGTTTTACGGTGTGAAAGGTGATATTGGTGTAGATTCCCATCATTGTTTCGTGATATATGTATATGTTATGATGATGTACTACTACAAGCATAATTTGGACTTATTCGCCCGACAACTTGTTCATGAAGCGCTATAGTGCCGGAAATACGACTTACATATCATTAGTACTCGCTGTAACACTCGACTGCGTTACCTACATTTGTATTTAAACTTACGGCGTTAGTGAGCGTTGCGTCAAGTACGGTGTCCAAAACTCGATTGAAATTTAACAACCAATATTCGACAGATATGATACGCTGCAATCCTTATATCGAAATGTTAAATAATGGCTCGGCTGCTAGAGTATGCTATTTTTGTTGATATTTGTGGTGTTTTGCAGGTAACTTTCGAAATATTCAACATGCACTTTGCAGTATTTAACATGCAACCAATTGTTGACAGAAAATGCCAATTCTGTAGGCATGTAAATGGTTACCAATCAGAAGTGGCACAGGATTCTTTGTAACACAGTTGTGCAGTTACTTCCGTAAATTTCGCGCGTTCAAAGAAACTCTGCGGAACCAGTTCTGTTTGCTAAGGCTGTTGTTGCTGGGACTACGCTTTGATACTTGGACGTACGCACTTACCCATGTTCTGCAACAAATCGCCCATCCCAGATTCCCTCAGATGGAGGCGGATGTCGCGCTCAATGCGCCCCATCCACTAGGTTTCGGTTGTTGGAAATTTGCATTGAACCTGCGATTCCATTTCTACATATATATATACTGGAATAGATATGGAAACGCTTTGAAACCCGCTGCGCAATTATGCCCTTATATCCACCTGTCTTCTCAGACCTACAGAGATCGGGATTTCAGTCTGGACCTCGGTGACGAGCACATCACGAACATCTAATACCGCATTAAGTGCAAAGATGATCTCATTAAGGCGTGGATCCTCCAGCTGCGTTGGACCACTTTCGAACATCGTGGCAGGCACCAGCAGATGGTTTGCATTCCAACGAGGTCCTTTGTTTCGTGCAACATTAATACGTCGAATCGGGCTTCTGTTAGCGCGAAAATGCATATATTTAATTCAATGCGACCGTTAGCGGACACTACTGCTTTAATAGCTTTAATAACCAGTGTTGGGCTAGGCCTGCAAAATTTACTTTCAGGTCCATAAGCAAGCTCAAAAACAGGCTTATGTGGCGTAAACGCTTACAGCTGTCCCCAAAAGACAGTGTTGCCTATGCCTTAGCTCGCCTAAGCTAATAATTTGCTCTCCTATTGTTATCTACGACTGTGGCGACGACAAACCTTGACAAGCACTAATAAGCCTTACTGAAATTCACTTCATTCTTATCTAATGATAGCAACAGAAATGCATAAGCAGTAAAAAAAGGATGTTGCTGCTATATATATATAATCACATCGAACCACCTAAATATATATAACCTCCAAAATATATATATATACAGTAGCTTTATTGGACCATTTTTGCCAGTACAGTGACTGGTGCCATCTATTTGAAGTCGTTGCAGACATTTATTTTACCACGCATTCGGAATTTATGTCAAAAAAAAAAAAGGAATGTCAATATTTAAAGAATCTTACAGGATGAAGTTCATGCATTCTGCTATCATGATGTAAGATTATTTCCTGATAACCTTCTAATGAATTAGATGAAAAGGTTCCACAAAATACACTATTCGTTTGACCTGCTATCACTCGGATTGTCCATATTTATTATGCTGTATACGAGAGTTCATAGAAGTTCAAAAAATAATGTCGATATCATACTAAGGTTTAAGGAATTGTCAAGATAAAAATGAGAATTAGTGACAGCAACCTCAAGTAAATTTTGTGGATAACAAAGAATTTTAAGCTCCTGGATTTTGGCCACCTCAATTCTCGCAATGCGAGGTCAAGCGTGATCGTGCAATAGACTGATTTAGCTCTATTTACTGATTTTGCCTATATAATGCGGAGTTTATATGAGTTTATGCGGAGTAATTATACTGCATAACATCTAGAGTAGACCACCAAACGGACACCATAAACTACTGCAGCTACACATTTGTTTCAGGATGATGTGCCGCTATGCACCCACTGGTGTGAGCTGTGATTATTGTATAAGCTGCAGTTTTAATCACAGTAAAATTCGATGGAAAAAGAGGTCACTATTATTAAAAAAGGGCAAAAAAAATTAAGATTCTACGACGTCGTTTTTGCGTTAAAATAATGTGGCACCCATTTGCCAATTTTTTCATCTTATGATTTCATACTTGTCCTATTAAATGGACTGACTTAATTTGATAATTGGCTGACAGGAATAAGTTGAATCACTTATTAGCCACTTGCTCTGCACTTATATAGCCGTAGACGTGTATTTATTCATTGGTACATATTGTAGGATTCCAGTTATTACAACTCAGTTATGTTTATCTATCGGGATGTGCCTGTCACGGCTCCGGTGTCCGCTACTGCCCCGTGTGTTTACGTTTCACAGTTTAGGCCCTTTCGGATCCAGGGCCGTCATAACCACTGTTTTCCCGACTGCCATGTGTTGTAGTGTAAGGCACGTATTAGCGATTTTTTGGTAACTTCATCTTCTCTGATGAAGCTCAGTCTGCACGGAATGCCTATGCGAATAAACAAAATTGTTGCACTTGAAACTGGGTGAGTCTCAAACAATTACTTAACTCGCAACGGTCACTGTTTGGTCAGGCATGGCGACCAAAGGTGTCACCGGGCTCTTCTCTTTTCAAACATTACGATGGAGTAGTAGCAAGAGTCAATGGCACGCCTTGTTGCAAATCTTTTCTGTTTTAATTTTTTTTTTTTAATTTTTTGTGGTAAATGGTTCTACATCCTTCTGTGGACGCAAATGAGGGTATTGGAAAACATTGCACGAGAAACAGTAAATTAGCTTGAACTTAGGTTCTTAGGCTGGTTGGTCTCATTGCGCGGTAGTGACATCGCACGGCTGTGATCCACAATCTGAAACATTGTGTTCGCGAATTGATTAGTGAACCTGGTACTGAAATTACACGGGATAGTCCGTTTCGCCAATCATTTAAGTAATTTAAGTGTTCTTTTAGAGAAGATTTGACAGGCACTGTTCTACATATCGTGCAAATAAAGCCCCCTGGGCTGAGTTATTTTAACAATCAAAATGCTCACAAAAACCCATTTTGGTTTCCAGTTAGGGTATGATGAAAAAGCTGCTGCTTTTAGGGCATCGTGTACTAAGACTGTCTGTCTGACTGTTTGTCTGTCACCCACAAATCACCCTTGAGAATGGTCGCTTCAAGTTCTTTCCAGATAGAACCTTATCGTGCGGAAAGCTGCGTATGAGGTGGAGTCAAATGAATACGCTCGACCATGAAAGTTTCTCTGTTATAAAACGTGAAACTAAAGGGATTTTTTCCTTTTTCAGTGATTTGCTCTGTATTGGTTGAGAACCCCTAAAGACCATATTCGAAAATCGTTCTTAAAATAGGATCGCATTGTGAGGCTAATTTTCTAACTTTTGTCATGCTACTGCGATAAAACAATCGTGATTGCTGCTAAAATACAATAATATGTTGATTTTCTGCAAGTCGATAATAGGTAGAATCAAAATCCCCTAAAAAGTTCTTATGAATTTCTGAAAGGAAACCATATGTAAAGACAACAATTACTTCTCCGCAATGCTATTACATCGGTTCAACTTTTTTTTTAATTACGTAACAATAAGTCGTTTCCTACAATATCGATATTTTAAAGACTTGCACTTGCTGCTTTAATGCTGAGACATGTTCATCGGTACAATCATTTAAGTGAAATTACGCCTAAGGGAAGCGACAAGGCTATACCGTTCATCTGTAGACATACTTAGCCTTTTATTTCTAGATAATAAAAATACAATTTGCTTGATAGCAACAGAAGGCAGGCAAACAGAAAGGGTCTGTTCGGGAGACAGCTTCTTTCTCCCGCAGAGAGTAAAGCTAATTTGAACAGGTTCACTCATTTTTAGCAATTCGTTCAGTTCGTTAAGAACCCGAGAAGGATTTATACTAGAAGGTTGTTTATTTTTAAACTCTATTTATAAAAATAAATAAAAGTGCACAACATTTAAATTAAAAAAAAATTAAACATTGTGAATTTTTATTTTTTATTTTACGGTAAAGTAATCGCGGAGGCAAATCAACGACCCGTTAAGTATCTTTTTTTATATGATACCTCATTCAGAAATTCTGAATTTTTAAGTTGTCCTGAAGTATGCGGTCCTAGCAAGCCATATTTTACAAATAAATAGGAGAAACGGACATTACATTTTGCAGTGTGAAGCCAGAAAAGATTCAAGCTTTCAGGTGATATTTCGTATTTTCATCTCTCCAAGACGAGTGCGTTACTGAAATGCTTTATCAATCTGTGAAAAACTTTCACAAATAATCTGCCCCAAAAGTCGCATAATTATACATAATGTAAAACTAGCCAAGTTATCATGTTAACAATATGTTGCGATCTGCCTAATGGCAGTAAATATTTCCAGAATTTGCGTCTTAAACCACCATTATTTATTGTAGGTTTTAGTATCAGATAATGAACTTTTGCGAATAAACTAGATAGTATGGAGTTGAATAGTTATTGACTGTTCCCAGATGGTTTGAAGAAGCCAGGGTAATAAAGCTGAGAAATTGTGAACCAGTACCATTCTCCATTTTGTTCCGGAATTTGACGTTGCAGCTAGCGTAATTCTTATAGCTTTGTCCAAGTGTTGTCAGCTTTGTATTCTTTTACATGGCGCAAATTTTAGTGCCTTTAGTAAACATGGAACTAAAACATGACTGAATAGATTGGCGAATTATTTGCCTAATTGTATCAAATGAGGCACACGTTCTTTGATTCAATTACATTCACGTGACGTTTTTTTTTACTGTATTGCACGGGTCGATTAGATAACACTGTTATGTGTTTGATACTCATCATCTTATTTGCTATTCTATTTCAGGGTGCAAAGTCAGTTGTGTTAATGAGTCACTTGGGTAGACCCGACGGTCAGTCAAACTCAAAATATAGCCTTGCGGTGGTTGCAGAAGAACTAAATCAACTTCTTGGAAAAAAGGTATTTTTTCCAACATTGCAAGTGAACCACGATCTTTGCCTGTCATACTGAGCCACTTCGTTAAAAAATAAAACACGACGTCTTAACTTACTGATAAAAGTATATTCATTTTTTTTTCTTTAGCTATAAAAGACATAAGAATGAGAAGACTTGATTTGTCTCTTATTTTGTTATTTTGGAAAATATCTACGGAATCCTGGTAAATACAGCTGTCTGAATGTTTGCATGGACCGCTGGAGATTTAAGTTGCATACCCTAAGTCAGAGTTTTGCAAAAGTAGCTTATTTATATTTTAGGTGTATAACTGACAAGTTCTGCTACTAACGAGTGAAAATATTTTAGGTAATCTTTTTAAATGACTGCTGTGGTGCTCAAATAGAGGCTGCGTGCGCAGATCCTACACCGGGAAGTGTTATTCTCTTGGAAAATCTACGTTTTCACATTGAGGAGGAGGGAAAAGGCGTTGACACTGCGGGTAATAAAATAAAAGCGGATGCCTCCAAAGTTAAGGAGTTCCGTGCAAGCCTCACTAGACTCGGAGACGTATACGTCAATGATGCTTTCGGAACAGCACATCGAGCCCACAGCTCTATGGTGGGTGTTGAGCTCCCGCGGCGCGCAGCCGGATTTCTCATGAAGAAGGAGCTCGACTACTTTTCAAAAGCGCTTGACCAGCCGGCACGGCCCTTTCTCGCCATTTTGGGCGGAGCTAAAGTTAAGGATAAGATTCAACTTATCGAGAACCTGCTAGACAAGGTGAAATTTAGCAAGAGGTTTTCACGTCGGTTAGTCTATTTAGCTACGTGAAATCAATTATCTATAAGCATGCATGGTAAAACTTAATAATAGGTTTGTATTGCGTTTTTGCAGGAAAGGACCGTCAAACCGTGTTTATATATTATATACGGCCTTTTTTTTAAAATGGGTGGCAAATCGTGTAAATTGTGATTAAGCTAGGTAAGACAAATAAATACAGAAATTGGATTAACGCCCGTCACTATCCCATACGTTCTTTAAATTCTTTTTAATACGTACGTAATGTCTGTATACATGAAAATATCAAGCAGGTTACGTAAAAATGAATCGCAGCAAACAAAGTGACATATTTGTTTCTTATAATGCGGAACTCAGCACGCCGAAATCTTGTCTAAATCCCCCAAGGTGAACATTTTTATTTTAAAGTTTGAATGCTAATTCTGTTGATATTATAAATCAAAATGATAATGATTTTAAGTTGTGTCTTTAAAGGTTCTTTCGATACGAGATTGACCGTCACAGCAAGCAAATGAATACTCAAAACAGTGTTCTAGTAACGACGTGACGTTTTCATATTAAAGTACGCGTACAACTTTTTTGGCAACGAATCTGATATATGTGTACTAGAGCAAGAGTTAAGTTAATTGTGAAAGACATTATGGACCTAAGAGTTGTAATTTAGGCCAGTTTGTGCTTGAACAAACATTTAACTAACATTATGAAATCCGCTCTTGTTGAACTAAAATATTACAAAAAAAGTTGCTATATATTATAACGAGTAAATGTGTAAATAATTGTCTCGTGATAGATACCTTTATTTAATGCTCGGAGGTATAGTAATTGGACGCAATATGTATATATAAGGCGTTTATCGGCTATATACCGTAAAAGTATCATTTGTTGGAAATATTATCTTTAAGGGATTCGCATGTACACCCTTAAACTCAACAAAGGCGATTGTATCGGGTCAAATGTTAACTAGGCTGCCCATATATATAGAACATATCCCTTACAGTATATTGACATACTAGTGTACAGCCTTAATATGTAGATCATGAACTGTGACGAAGAGTCGATCAGTGAATGTCTTATTTTAAGTATAATAATTCGTCCAAATATTTGATCCTCGACCAAACGATCGGTTAGGAGGGCTTACCCCAGAAACGAATTAAATCACTGCCTGGGAGGAATGTTTTAGCCGTTAGTTAAGATTCAAGAATCGAGGCCAGATACTGTTGTGTAAATTTTTATACGTATCAAAAGTGAAACCATGCATCATGGTTTTCAGCCATGAACAAAATAATTTAAGTTCAAAGAGGCCCAGACACTACATAGTATCAAAATAATGAGTATTTTAAATACTCTGATTTTATTCAGGTGAACGAGATGATTATTGGAGGTGGTATGGCATACACTTTTCTGAAAGTTACCCGCGGAATGAAAATCGGTGACTCGCTCTTTGATGATGATGGAGCTGCGATCGTTGAGAAGCTAATGGCTAAAGCTGCAAGCAACAATGTCCAAATTCACCTTCCAAGCGATTTTGTTATCGCTGATAAGTTTCATGAGGTACGACTTAGACTGAGTAATTATGATAAGACAAAACACTTGATAAGGTGTTTAATACAAACATATATAAATATAAAGAAATATAAGTAAAACACTTTATCAAGTGTTTTGTCAGTAGGCCGATAGAACAATCCTTTAGAGCTTTTTTAAACTCCCATATTTGAGGTTTTATTGAGTGTCTTTGCAAAGAAGAGAAAAGTAGGAAGCTCTGGTGGCTTTTATTAGTAAATTCGTGACACGACGTTGCCACTATAATCGGCTCTATGAAGCAAATCATGGGAAAGCCGAAATCTCTGTATTACAGGATTCTTTTAAGTTTCAACATAATAAATTTACTCATAAGTGACAGTAAATACCTATTTGAACTTCCTTTGGTTTATGGGGTACCATTATTTGCAGGATGCCACAACCGGAACTGCGGATATTTCAAACGGTATTCCCGACGGCTGGATGGGCCTAGACTGTGGTCCCAAATCAGTGGAGCTATTTGCAGGTGCTGTGAGTAGGGCCAAAACAATCTTATGGAATGGACCTGCTGGAGTTTTTGAATTTGAGAAATTCGCTGTCGGCACAAAAGGATTGATGGACGTTGTCGTGGCTGCTACCGACCGAGGAGCAGTTACGATTATCTGTGGCGGCGATACAGCAACTTGTGCTGCTAAATGGGGAACTGAAGACAAGGTACATAAAGATATATATCAGGTTCTAGTATTACTGATATCACTAAAGTATTGCTTATAAACGGCAGTAAATATTTTACTATTGGTTATATAGTTACTATTGGATAAATGAAAATACAGTAATATAAACTTATAATTTTTTAGCTGTCATTTTATCTGTATAGCTGTAACTTTTATCAAACTGTTTTTGAACAAAGGGAACTGTGAAATCCTTGTGTGTGGATAATAATGCCTAGAACATGGTTACTTTTAATCACTTATTAAGTAGTAAGCTGCATATTTAGTTATTACATATGTGCTTTTACAGGTATCACATGTCTCAACGGGAGGAGGGGCTTCTCTCGAGCTCCTTGAGGGTAAAATTTTGCCTGGTGTAGCAGCACTCTCAGACGCTTGAACCAACGGATATTTAATCTATAATGAGTACGGACTTGCCCTCGGTTCGCGTATATATAATATATATATATATGATCCAACACTCAACCACATCAAAGATTATCATGATAATACTGTAGATGTTAAAGACAGGTCTAACAGAAACTGCTTAAATATGGGTATATTGGGTATAACGCGCGTTTTAGAACAAATGTGTTTCGGTAAAATACGTTACGAAAAACTTCGTAGAGCTGTTTTCAAATTCTCAAATTTCTCTTCTCCCAAAAGAAACGAATTTATGAGAATTTGAAAATAGATCTATAAAGAGCCTTACTGGTACATAATTCAAATCTGCAGCAGAACTGTTCGAAATCCTTTATACTTTGCCTAAAGCTCTTGGCCATAAACGAATTCCTGTAAGCGGTACTGTTATAATGGATACTGTGTATGTAATTTTGAGCAGAAAAAAAATAAATGAGATTTGTTTTCATTAATTTTTGGTGATGTTTTCTGGTATGTTTTTATTTTACCCAAATTCAACACAGCAGAACGGCTAGGAGAAGAGTTAAGAAATTAGATATAGCTGAGTCTGTTTTCATTAAAAATCAGGGCTTCAATGTTTGAACTCACCTCTTGTTCTAATTTAGCTGGAAAAACTTTTATTCAGTCAGAAACAAATGCCTAATATCTCTTATGAAAATGGTGTCTTTCTGGAAACAAAACAATGATGATCACTATTGGTTTGCACAGTAATAGTGCGTAGCGTCAAAAATTAAAGTCTGAAATTTCTAAAATGTCTAAATTTCAATGCTACTTTTAGCGTATTTATAAATCAACTTTTTATCCTTAGCTGTGCCAGCAACCCCCGAAACTCGCCACAAAGACCGTTCGGCGCAGTGGGCTACGCTAATGTCATTAGCGCCCTGATGAAACACAGTTATCGCAGTTCAGATAATTCTATTGCGACATGACAAATCAATACGGTGGTAAATGAGTACGTGAGATAGACATTGAGGACACAAGTTCTAAATGAATACCGCGCATGCCTATACAGGTAAACAACAAGTGTACGGTTCTAGGGGCTCCTCTTTCAAGCCTATGTGGAAATGACCGTAGAGTCAGTTCTATGGAAGCGAACGGAATGATTCGTGATTCGTTCCAAAGACAGCGGTGCCCGAATTTGGTCGACAGTGGCTCTATGAAAGCTACGGCAGGTCTCGTAACGATGAAGCATTGTTTTTATCGAACTCGAGAGACAGCGAGTTGAAACTCTCTTGACACTACTATAACGCTCATCTCGTCATAAGTGAAATTCGAGCCTTTCGTAAGCCGCGTTATTGACTTCAGCAATCCGTGCTTGTCGATGAACAAAGTGAATGCCGCTAACTTAATTTTGCCGATGAGTTGTTCACGTGTCCTGGCAGTTGCTCTTTCGTAAATGATTTGTCGTCAGATATCTCGGCGCAAGTCAGCATCGGTAGGACATAGCCCACGGCGGCACCGGGTGACGAACTACACAAAATGGACAGCGCTCTCCGAACTGAAGAAGCGATTGAAGTTGACGACGACGGTATTTAAAATATCGTCAGTGAAAACTACGGAAAATCCTTGATGTTCAACAATGTGTAAAGATTTACTAGCCCGATTATGTTCAGGCAACAATCAAAAGGCAGCGCACATACTGAATGCATGCGCACAACGTCGGCCCATTTGGCTGCAGGCCAAACAAATAGACTAACCGAATACCGATCCTAGCTTGGTTCAATGAGAACTAGATGGTTACTCAGCGATCGACGACCACTATATATTTTGGCTTACACATTCTTAAATTGTCAGATCTACCTTGCACTGTGGTCGGATAGAGCAGGATAATTTGCTTCTTGAGGAATGATAATGCGATGAAGCTCAGCTTACTACCTAGGTCAAGGAACGGATTTGAGCGCCATGGCGCATAACATAAGCAGTCATCACTAGCAACAGTAGTACCACCGTTAATGCTGACGTTACTATAACTGTTTTCTGCGAGATGACAGCCAGTTTAGTATTAAATCCATTCGTCATTACCGCGGATGGTGCTGTTGTGTTTTATGTGTTTATTTGTGCTGCTGATGCTGGTATGATGATGAACCAAACGACAGTGAGTCTAACACTGGCTGCAGGAAGAGATTAATACCTGTTTTCGGTAACTCGTGTTACGTTTGACGAAAGTAAGGAGGCAATTTATTCAATCCGCGGATGTTCCCGCGTGCTTGCTTCGTGCGGCGTTATCGACACTGTAAGGCAATCTCGCAGTTACTGCTATCTTGTCTCTTCATTTAGTATCTCCGTAAATAACAGGCTTTCAGAAATAGCATTGCGTACTATTTTCTCGTACGTCAGTGCGTGGAACATGCAAACCGCTCATTGACAGCACTGAACTTTCTGCGATTGACGGAGAAGCCTAAAGTCACTGGCTGATTCTACTGCCAGAACATCTAAGAGACGACTTCCTGTCGGTATCAGTTCGTCCTTATTTTGATTCCAACAATTTTAGAGCAATTGTAGTTATTCTCACCACTCGTACTTACGCTTATAGTCAAATCCCGCGACAGTTCACGGAGCTACTTTCCCGTACCACTCGCAGCACAACGCCGATCTATTCAGTACGTGAATTGACTTCTTCATCGTGATAGGTCGTCTTTGTAAACATCAGAGTAAACGTAATTTCTAATTGCTACATGGCTACAACTTTTCGTATGTTACGTTGATGCGCGGCTGAGAATAGCGGAGCTGATCCGTTGGCAAAACTCTAGTGCCGCCGCCGGCCGACGTCATTGCTTCATTAACAGGGACGTCATTACAGGCTGACTTCGCAACGCCGTATTTGTGCACCATATGCCTGATATGCGCGAGACACCGTTTTTTTGCTCGCAGCTGGTCTTTACCTCATTCTCGACGTGGGAATCGATTAAGATCGGGGTACTCTAGTTCTTCTCGATCGAGAACAACTGGTGGTAGATCTTTATCACATAAGTCAGTTCTGAAAGCCCCTTTTTTTGCAGTTTCTTGCAGCAAGAGTATATGTGAAAAGCGGCGGCGACATCATTAACAATAGTTTTTCTTAACTTCGTGCGTTTGTAATAAAGGACCAAAAGCTTCATTATCTTCGCGGTGACAGTTCACTGCTGTTGACTGATTTGACTCACAGAGGGTATTATATTGCTTATGACTATTGCTTTAACGATTTGACTGAATGGTATAGGTAATGACTGACATGACATGCACAAAGATTCAAGCGCAAAAGCAGAGTCAATCTCAGTGGCAACTAAAAAAAGATGTGTTAATCCATAATCATGCGTACATTCGCACGATGTGTAGGAAGCAGTATTTTTTAAGATGAATTGTAAAACTTGCGATAAGATCATGCGAGTAGCACAGGCATAGCAGCGCAAACGCTGTATGCGCTATTATGCCTGTCTGAAATTATAATTAGGCCAACGCGAATAATCGGAACGGAATAATAACCTTCGAGGACGCGGCCGTAAATAAAGTGTAATTTCCTACACAGTTAAGCTTCACTTTGAAAGTTCACGGGGCTTGAGGTCAAACGATGTCCTGATCTCGCTCAAAACATGTTTTCAACCACGGTTAGCTGTACGTGCACCTGCGCCACGTTCAAGCTTCCAACCATGCAAAAATATTTTTAACTGATGACTGCGACATTCCAACATGGTCATACAAAGTGTCCTATAATGACTTGCTTCATCCACCTCTGCGGGCGCATTAACATACCTTAATACAATAACATACGTATTGGGTCGCCGTTTCAACAAAAATGCCTCTCATCACCAAGGTAGGCCTCGCTGTTATATATTAGCGATTTCACTGCTGATATTAGTGAAGTACCAAGCCCAGACACCTAAGTAGATATGGTTCTTCTGGTAGGTTGCGGTCAATGTTAATTTAAGTACAAAACTGCGCCTGACCAGTAGTTTCCGTTCCTCTATAATTCATAAAAGACTCACTAGTTGATTCAACAGTGACACAGGCGCAGCGGGAAACCAAGCGGCCGTTCTCGCCTATCTGTTAAAAAAAACTAGTAGAATAGATTACAATGGATAGATTAGCCGACTAGCAATCGCAATCTCGATTAGAACGAATAGACGGTTGACTTGACTCGAGCACGTCTCTCTCAAGTATGCCCAGAGGTGGGCATATGTTTTTTCCAAACAGAGTCAATCAGGCAACACTAAAAAAAAGCGCAGTAGAAATGTACCAAAAGCCAACATATTATCCGCTTCGTTGTAAACTTTTCTACATGTTTCATTATATCTAAAAAGATCTGGTGCACTTTTCTAACCCTTCCTTCGTTGTCGCCATGCGATCAATGCACGATTGAGTAACAAATGAGTCTGTGAAGAGCTCCTTCCTGTGCGGAGCTGCCAAAGATACTGTGCGCAGCGTTATTTGCCTCGTCTTTAGAGCAAAGGACCCAAACGTCAAACCTTGCTTCATTCATCTTAAACATATAAGTCTAGAACTGGCCATGTCTCAAGAGAAACTGTGTTAGGTGATACTCCAATTCTCTGAGCGCTCTATCGTACCAGCCTCTGAAGGAGAAGCCGTCAGAAGCTTACGTAGAAACCTCTGAATCATATTTGAACCAGATATGACTGACCGATTCCCTGTGCTATCTCTGCCCATTGTTCCTGTTACTTTTAAATAGATTACCTCAGTGGTGTAGAATTCAGGCGTAACCTCACTTAATTTCTGGCTAGGAACCAGCCATGTGAAGTAATGCTTCACGGTCTAAGTACCACACGTAAAACACAAAACGTATTGGGGATGCATAAAATGCTGTTAACTTCATCACTGCTGTACATAATTATATTTCCCTCTCTGTAGCGCTTCCCATCTTCGGCACCAAAATAAACTGAAAAGGAAAGCAGAAAAAAATGACCACCTTTGTTTTACAAGTAACCTTATCTTTGCGCCATTATCTACAGAATGTTTAAAATTATGTAATGCAAATGTATGCATCAATAGTCATCAAAATTAGCTACAAGGTTTATTTGGCGTATACATATGGTATTGTTGCGTATTGGAGCGTCGCGAAAAAATAATGAGTTCGCCCTGTCGTGCACGTTGGTGGCTGCAGTCCTGTGCTTCTTGACATTACGCAACTATCGGTTGAGGAACAAGCAGAGAAGTCCTTTCAAGCAAACGCCCATACCATCCATTTACAATTTTCAAATCTAACAGCCCTTTTAAGGTGTTCACAGGGATCGAGCAAAAATTTCACGTTTTCTAATTATATTCTGTACAAACCTACTAAACAAAAAGCACTAATTAAGATACTTTGATGCACTATTAAAGAAAATCAAGTGAAAAAAGGAAGCCGTTTGGGGGCAAGGCTGATGACTAGTGAAATCCTACACGCATACAAAGAAGCATTACATTTAAGAATATTGATATCGACAGACAAAAGTCTCCATTACAATTAACAGCAGTTATGCCAGTTATCAGCAAAGGTGTTGTTTACAAGTTCTGCATGTGCAACTTGCACAGCCAGCCACCATCGCTGCATAAGTTATATATACAAAAAATTACAGATAAAATAAACAGGTCTATCAAATTTCTCTGCACCAGTGCACTAATACCCAAAAATGTAATCTATTTCAATTGCAACATCGAGAGACATGCTACTTCAGTTTCCTTCAAAAAATAAAGAAAGATATTGTTAAGATCAAACAAAACTTTTATAATGCAACTCCACTGCTGATGATAATCTTAAATTTTTTATTCAGGGCTGCAACAAGTATATTTAGTAGGTTTTATAACAGAGGCGCAGCACTATAAGATTTTAAGATTTTGACTATAAGAGATTCCAGATTATAAGAAAAGAGTAAAACTAAATATGAACGATTGCTCGATCAGTTAAATAGTTTATAGCTTATATCTACGTTCCTATTTATATGAAAATTTCTAGCCAAAAGTCAGTAAAATTTTCACTTGATGAAAGAACTACTAGTATATAAATAAAAATGTGCGCTTCGGTTGTAATTAGTTCGATTTTTATACAGCATTCAGTATAAGACGCTTAAACCGTCCCATAAAGTTAACTATAGCATTTGATCTAGCAAACGTTTTTCATTTAATATGCAGATGATTTCGGTGATGAATTTTAACTAGCACATAACCAATAATGTGAAAACTGTTATTATATAAATAAATTAATTAATTTGCAAAACGGCCTTATAATGCGTATAAGTATACATATTACGGCGAGATTCAGCGGCTGTACATTAAAAAGCACACTGAAGTATCATATACATGCAATGGATAGACTGGATATATGAGAGATTGAATACTGGGAGAAATCACTTGTAAACGATAAAACTAAATTTACAAAGAGGCAATTTACTTAGCTGGCATCTTGCAACATATATATACGTAGTAGTAATTCGAGCTTTTATGATAGCCCCAACTAACGATTGTGTAGTCGGTCTGTCTACCGCATATGCTCTTAATTAAGAAGATGATCTCGTCTGTTAAAATTACTGTTATATATTTAAAAAGTATTTAAACTGTGTATAGTATTATACACTATGTGAATATCTTCCTCAAAGATTATTGTACATGTTTATCATCTAACTTGAGAAACGTGAATTATCAAAATGCATTCGACAATGTACAAGCGATGAAGCCATAAGATTGATTTTCGTCAGTTATAATATCAATAGAATAGAATTAGTTTCTGCCGGCGTACCGGAAAAGCATATGTTTGCATCAAGTTTCAACAGGTCTGTCGGTGTTCGTATAAATAGTATTCGTCTAAAAACACACAATCATTGTTATAGCGCTCTTATATTCTTAAGCCACATGTGTCAAATTAAGAAGGTTTACTACTCTTACACAATGCGTTTTACTAACATGTCTGAATTTTGACGTATGGCATATATTTGGGTCATAAAGCCACATGTTAGAATTTCAATTTGTATGCATTAGCGACCGCAATTTGTGTCCTGTAAGGCTTGTGTCTAGTGCAAATGGTGATATAGTTATGTCCAAAAGTCAAACAATTTCGATAATTTTTAAAAAAGCGCCCACGAATATAACTTGAATGCATGTAGATATATGAGGCTTCAGGTCATCCTTACACATTGATGTGGCGATGGTGCGATGAGTATATACAATGTACATCCACGTATAGGTATACATATCGAATATGTATTTTATTCTTATTATATTTATATATGTCGAATATCACGATTGTACTATCAACGGCAATGCTTGCCCTTATGTTGCAAATTAAATATCGTTCAAAACTATCTCCAAATTTCTTTATAAACACGAAACGAATCAGCCGATTTTAGTTAACATTTTCGCATAAATTTCACTAAGCCTTGATAGCTAAGGTTTCTTGTTCAATCTATTTGTTTGGCACATAATTAAAGGGGCCCTAATTTTACACATTTTGCTTTTCAAGAAACAATAGTAGAAAAGTTTTCAGCTTTTCGAGTGCAGAATGGAAAGGGGCACCGCCTTATTGCAAGCAACGTTGTCTAAGTCTAATTACAGAATTTAGGGTCGAGAATAACTTTCAACATGTTCCTGACGATCACTAACAGTTGAGTTAAACGAAACGCCGCGATAACACCACCTGCCCAAGGTTTTCATCTGAGAAGACGATTTTCGATATGAAATTAGAGCCGCATTACAGCTGCTCTTTCTCTTGCCAACCTAGAACGTTTCGCACGGCCTGAGTCTTATAAAACTAAAAACAGAAATTTCTATGTAGTATTCACTAAGTAAATTACCTAATTTGCTCTCAGCTGCTAAATTAACAGCCTCTCCTGTGTGAGTTTCTGTCAGTGCGTAAGGCATGAGCCACTAGACAAAAAAGGGATATGCCCTTTGCATGAGTGAACACCCTTGTAGCGTATCAAACAGTCATCTAAGTGCAAGCCAGATCCTAAAGCAAGCGTCCAAGCAACCGGAAACACAAGGAACACCGGCAGTACTGTGCACTCTTGTCCCTTTTTTTTCGATTTTCCCTTTGGATTTGCCAGATATGGTAAGATGGCTTAACAGAGATATGACAAAACACGTTTTCTTCAGAGCAAACTACTAAAGGCGTCACTAAGATAGAAATTAGAAGAATAAATCCATAGTTTTGAGCATGTCATGTTAAGAGCCTGACCCCTCCCTGCCCATTCTACAAATTTTTTTGGCGCCCCCAGTAGAAATTTGTCGTGTCTTTTGTCAACACACTTATCAGATTAAAGACTAGAAGCCTAATCGATGTCCCGGCTTTATAATAAGATAAAGTCCATACTTGCTCACTTCTGTATCACTGAGAAGCACCCCTTCCTCCGTTTCTCCGTTTACCAGTCTTTGAAGGAGGGTCGGGCACCTGTTCGCGAGTAGTTTAGTCACCTCCGATGGTATTTTATCCGGACCCGAAATTTTTTCAGTCGTGATCTGGCCTGTCCTATAGTGCACTGCCTCAAGAAGGTCTCCACAAGTGTTTCATTTACTGTTATGTATAAGTTCTGAGAGGTGTTTATGTGTGAATGCACATCTTCCCCAGCTTTCCTTTACCCGTCGGTCTCTCCTTCTCTGCCTTTCCTCGTCAGGGTAATTTCCTTTGATTCTCGTGTTTCTGTCACTCCTATGCCATCCTCTTCTTTCGACTCCGCTGTATTCTTATTGTGTTTTATGCGTAGTCTCCCTGCTTCAACAATTTCTTCATTCCACCAGCATTTCGACAAACGTTTTTTTATGTTAAGTCTAAGTGGAAATTCTTTGAGCGATTCTCTGTCAAAAACTTTGACCACCTTCTTTACACAGCATGTACTTTTCGTAATGCAAGCGCTGGCTAATCCCGCATGGTTGTGTAAAACACTTAGTAACGGTGAGCAATGCTTTAACCAGTCATAGTAATTCAGGAGAATGTTAACTTCATTCGTGCCTTGTGATCACAGCTAAGCAAAGAACACTTAAAGGATACAACCGGAGTTTTTGCAGCAAGATCTTCAGATAGTCCTTTCACGCATCAAGCAACATTAGCCATTGAACCTGCTTCAATAACATCCGGAGAAACTAAACCAACGAAAGGACAAAGGCTTAAGTATCTACGTACCCATGCATTATAGACCTGGATCTATAAAGGTACCTGGATACGGTTTACCAGGGCGCCAGTGTCAGTATATTGTGAAGCCAGCTATATATGTATCATTACTGTGTGTTATAGTTATAGCTATATGTTATATTACTTCTTAAACGCGTATGTGTGGTCATTTACATTGATTTGAATGGGAATTCGTGTAAGTCATGTTCAGTGAAATAGTAACTGGGAAGAATCAAGACATCTTATTTATACGATGTTAAGAATTCTCCAGCCAACTTCACGAAGCCCAGTGCTACTGAGAGGCTTTTCTGGTTTTTTTTCTTAAATGTTAATTTGGGATTTATTTTTACTGTTTTAAGTCGCTTACATTAAAATATTACTATTTTTCCATGATGTTATTATATCTATTATATCTACTATATTATACCAGTTTACTCTATTGCTGAAAAAAACCAATGATCTCAGTTAAATATGGATTTTAAGGTCAATTACTCTTTTAATGAACAAAATTCGGTAGAAAATATATCTAAAATAATTTGTTAATCCTTATTCGACCAACTTTATTGCAAACAATCTTCGTTATAACTATTTTCACAGCGCACACATAGCGAGTCGTTGCGCATGCATAAGCTTCAAAAATCATATTCGCGGTTTGCGGGGTTCAAGCCACATATTGTCTTGATGTGGCACGAATTTAAAAACTACTTTGTTTTCTGGCTGTAGACCACTGCGCCTCGTTCGTACATTTATGTGTTAGCTCGCTAAAATCGATTTAAATTTTTAAATTCCGTAGACTAAGATTAGGTAATACCCTATTTTACAATGCTTAACGCTGCCACTGGAAGCAAAACATAAAACATATTAGCCAAGGATGAGTCAAGTTCTCTGCAAGATGCGAAATCATATGTAACGCATACTTTATTTGCCATTAACGAGAATAAACAATCTGAAACAAGAAATTATAGCTAGTTGTTTTCTTCAAATATCAAATACTTAAAGGAAAATTTATTTTTGCGCAGGAAACCCGCTTTGATAAGTCACGGAATTTTAATAATGTTTCCAAGAAGCCATCTATGTATGTGATGCATCACTTTTGCTCCGTACAGGTTAGTGGCTGATTGTATTGCTCATTCATATTTGTGATTTTTTTTATTCTACACATATGTATGATGGTAAACACATATGTCAAAAAAAAATGTTAAGATGGCATAAGTGCCCATTTAATACTCAAGTTAAAAACGCAAAGTTAAAATGATATTGAGGTCGTTTTGATTGAATTTATAAATATACAATGTTATCATAACTTATTATTACATTTATACACACATATATTACATATGACTTTCTGTTTTAATAGAATGTAAAGGGCACATAGTGCTTACGTTAGTCTGCTAACCGCCACTTCTAAAAAAACTTAACGTTTTAACCCTATGTACACTCTGCTGCGACATAATTCTGCTTGTTAGTGAACTGTTTAATTTAAAACCTTACTCAACATTTCTTGCAAAATCCCACATATACGTACAAATTTTGAGGTTCTACGATCGGTAATACCGATTTACATCACTACTCTTAACTAACCAACTATTTTCCCTATTGCATAATAATAGGTCGCAATTACCCACGAAATAAGACTACAGTAGAATTTAATTAGTAGATGGCGTCAAGTGTAGCGTCAACAACAATGTTGGGAAGAGTAGGTGAATCCTGGTCCTTGAATGGCTCTTCAATAAAGCATAAAATTGGCTGATGATCTCCCACAGAATTAAGTCTCATATTACTCCTGATGTCTCGCGAACCGTCGCCTGTATATTCGTCTTCGATCAGTAATCCTGAAAGTAAAACAACCTTATATAATAAAGAATCAATCAATTAAATTTATTCACTTTACAAGCATTTCAGACACTTTATTTTATATTTTTATTTTTTATACATTTATAACAATTTACCACATCTTAAGTGGTATTTTATAGCTTGTATATAAATATGGAAGACTCTTATTTCTTGGCATTTGGGCGCATTAGTATAAAGAGTACAAATTGAAGACATCGTCAAACATAGATCGGGCTTTGACAGCATTAAGCAATCCTAATTAATCAAATTAATCAGCGTTTGTCATCAAGAATTTGATAAACATCCTTGAATTGCGCGCGCGAGGCTGCTCTGATAATGATAGTGCTAAATATATTATAATACGAAGCTAATCCACAAAAATACCAACCATTGATTTCTACATATAATTGCGGTTAAAAAACGTATGCGTGGCATACTCGACGTGCCAAAACAGCTGCGAATCACTAGGGGTACTTGACGTATAGGTGTGTTAAAGGGTGTTATTATTAAATGGTAGTATTGGATAGTAGATTTGCTACAACATGTAACAACGTTTAAATTATTTGGATCTATTTGATGATATGTTGTATTGTTTATTTTGACGCAGCTAAATTCTCAACTAGAATACGTACGAAGAGGTGAGCTATCTTTTTTAGTATAAGACTCAGTCTTAAGCTTAGTACCAATCCCTTTCTTACTAATCGCACCAATGAAACCAAAAAAATTATCGTAATCACCTTAACACAGGGTAATCCTAAATTGTTCGATATTAACCGTATTCATTATATCTATCACCATAAATTCACACCTGTAGCTACCAGATTAATTGCAGAGCTTCATCTAACAGTACACCCTCCGTTATATTTATATATATAAGGAGATCTGAACTTACTAATGAAGTTCAGATCTGCTTCCAAATTAAGCATGCATCAGCAAGGGTAACACATAGCGACATATAATTTTTGTAGGTAAAGTGCTCTTTGCCACAGAGCCCTTTACGATAAAATAGGTTAGCAAAAACCCCTTTAAGCCACTGATCTTTTTCATAAACATAACGAAATGACTTAGGGAACTTTACAATAAGAACGTTGGCTTTCCCTAATGTCGGCTTGAGTAAGTTTTTTTTTCAGTGAATAATTTGGACTTCAATTCTAAAATGCAGTACAGCACGTCACATTTGTAAGTAAACAGTGGTAGTTCCATTTCCCAAGCTTGATATTACACTGTAGTTATTCTTTTCATTGCACACCCTTGCAACGATTAGTGACATTTTGGACAGGCTACTTTGGTATTTCGTTGTAAGGATCAAACAAGGGCATAAAGAGTACACTGCCCCGTATCTTTGCTGTTGTTACAAATCCTGTCATAAGAAAATTGTTAATCTTCACAGTAAAATACGTTTAACGTAATCTCTATAGACGATAACTAAACAAACGTTGCACAATGCAGAGCGAGGTGATCTCTTACCCTCAATATGTGCGTGGTAGAACAAAACGACGATTTTTTCTGTCGGGGGACAAGGCCACCAAACCACATTGTTTACTAGCTTGTAAAGTTCATTTCAAAAAAGTAGTTTTATGCTTTTATTAGCGTCCTTTAAATTCCGCGCGTTTCGATTGGATAGAATTACGCAGCTTACACAGATCGGCCTAAAAGCTCAGAGAATCTCGGTTTGCGCACGCCTCGAGGTTTTGTGACTTGTGACTTGTGAATTGACAAAAGGAACATGTCATAGCCGATTATTTTTGTCTATGCCCGAACTTTGCCTCAATTACAGGTTGCTTGCCCGTACACTTCGTCAAGCTCTCTATTCCCATGGATATAACTGTTTTTTGTAAATTACCTGTTATCAGAACCGGATTACCGTCGGAATGCATGTTTGCGCTATTTATATGATTTTATGCATGTTCAAATTTCCCTGACGTATCCGAAGATTAAACGTCTCTCGCTCTTTCCTGATTTGCTAGTGTATCATATTCTGCTCAATTTTGGCTATAAGCCTTTCCCCAATGTTCAATCATAATTTGATGTAAACAATATTGATTCTTCGTGTCATCGTAATATTGACTCTGTGCTTTTTCGTGTTATGATTTGAACCTCTATGTTGGGTTTGTGTATTTGAATTGAAAAAGGAAATAACTAGAAGGTTAATAAGTCATTTTTGACATTCATGACCCATTAAGTTAATTGGTAGAATTAATTCTACAAATATCACGATAAGCTTACAAGAATAACCGTTTAAAATAGTCTTATTAGTTAAAAAAGAACATAGTTAAAAGGAAAAATTAATTAAACTATGTTATACTGTCCTATTTATACGTGTGGATTATACTTACTGAAAAACCTTTTACTACAAGAAGGATCAGTTTATTACGACACTGTGGTTGTCACTTAAATAAGCGTCATGCATAGGGGCTTTATGATTCTCGTTTAAAAAAATGCTGCCATGCAGTCAACTAAATTTGAAATGTTTGGCAAACTGCTAATCACACAGGTAGAGTCAACTGGCGAATACAACGAAATTTAGCTCAACACGACTAGATGTTTTCATAGCTCTTGTATTCTCCGGTCACTGCATGGTAACAATAGATCAGTCATCGAAACGCAATAAGGGTCATCAAAACATGTGATATAATTATATAATATGAACAATTTAACTGCGACCCTCCAGAGATTCTTAGTTAGGAATAAGTTCCACGGTATTAACAAAAATATAATACATTCAGCCTGAGGAGACTAATCCGTATACTTCTTAGTTGTCGTCAGGCGACCAAGATAAAGTGTCGAACACCGCTCTAAAGTAAATAAAACTTCTGCACTTGAAATGGAACAACTCGCGTTAAGTAAAAAAGGCGTCACAGACATACCGGCGACGTTGTTTTTATCGAGATCAAGAAATTCTTGAACGCATGTAGGAAGCAGTTTGTCCTTCGCTAGAAGAATATCCACAGCACTTTGTATCCAAGCCTAAAATAATAAAGTCATGAAGTTAAACAAAATATAACCGTAATTTCTATCGGCTAGACGCTCCCTCAGCTAGGTAAGCATAAAACACAACTTTTTCATACACTTAACTAGTCTTCAAAACGATCCTCGCTAGTACTTTGTTAATTTTAGGCTGGCGTGGGCTTCGCCGCGAGGTGACAAAGCCGTTGTTGGTTTACTTACGTTGGTTCGTTAATATTACCGATTCGTAGTATTTCGTTAATAATAATATATGTGAGTGATGTTATATTTTGACCAGTTGGGCTCATTCTGCACATTGCATACAATGGATTTAGTAATAGCTGTTAAGTTTATCACAAATTCTTACCCCAAAGACTATTCAGTCGGAGTTCGTCTAAATTAATTCTTGGGCCAGGTTTTTTTTGGCGAAGAACACGGTATACTTGCTGGAGTAACATATAGTTTTAAAAAGAATAGCTGATCTACAGTTTTATCAAGTACGTCGAAGATTTCGTAACGCGATGCACGAAGAAGCCTGGCGATTCGCAATCAAGTGCGAAAGTGGAATGCCCGATTCAACACACAAGACACTTTGCGACTGTATAGGAAACGTCTTGCTAATCGGATAGGCAATGAACCAGATTGGTCAAAAATTGAGTAAAGATTGGAACACCGTACAATGAAGCACATTCAAGCTCGTTCTCCAAGGTGTGAAAACGACCATTTGGCAAAGCGATGTTCGTTCAAACAACATTCTTGTACCGCACCTAACATCAGAAACGGTTGTCCCATGCAGATAAATAACAATGAAAAAAGACGATTAGCTAAGAAAAAAATAACACGAAAAGATAGACAGTATCTAGGTTAATGCTATACATGACATTACTCGATATTACGAGTCCAGGATACACAAAAACGTTCCAATCAGTGGTCAGCTGCATTATATATAGTTTACATAAGCTTGGGTCTAACTAAGTGTTTAACGATAATGAGAATGAAGAACTTGACATCCCACAGCTGACCATATGCCAACTAGTTAAACAACTAAAAATGGTTTTATCGGAAACCTCAGTGATTTTTTGCATGTTGATTCGACTTATACGGCCAAAAAAAGTGACTGCTATGTCGTTAGGCGTCCGATAATCCAATACGGATAGCTCTAGCTTACAAAAATGACAGATGTGGGCTGTGTCGATTAAGTTACCGCCAATATGGAGTCTTAAAAAACTGACGAACACGACAAGTAACTTCTACGTCAGTTACAAAAGCTATCTACTTACATTGCACCAGGAAATAATCATAGCAATTATTCAAAGCTACACTACGTCGAAATTTGAAATTGAAACAAAGCTGAACTGTATCGAGGAGACTGGGTTCTACTCCGGGCTCAATACTATACTTTTGCCCCAACTCCAACGCTTCGAAAATTGACTATGCGCAAATTTCAGGTTGAATTTGAACAACGTTTTTAAAGACCATCGTTGTGTCTTATCCACCGCTGGCAGAACCCGAAGCTATTTCTCATTAGAATGAAATAGGTGAATGAAGGACAGCTTGCCACAATTTTAAAGTGTAGAACTACATTCTTGTAAATCAAATTAGTTCTCGTAAGCTGTCAAGGCCCACTAACGTGAAAAGCACTTATTAGCTTAAACGTTAATTTTCTTTCGGAACCAAGGTCGCATTTTATTTTCTAATAACTAATAAGCACTCTCATCTTCCAAATATTTGAACGATCTGATTGTGATATTAGAGGTACCTCAAATGTATCACCATCCTTGGCTTAAAGGTCTATGAAAAACAAGTGTTTACTCCTCAACATATGGGAGAAATATTCTGTTGTTCTGTCATTGACATCAAGAAAGCTGTGACGTTCCGCCAAAAATCCGAGCGACCATCAATATACCGGAACTAAAATACGTAAGTTTTTCTCTTGGTATGGGGAATCGCCGTTGCGGCTGACGGAATGTAGGGATTAATGTTTAATTTCCCACTCAAAATCTCATAACATGTAAAAAATCTTCAACATGTGAGTCGAGCGCTTACCCTCTAAAGGAAGTTGCTCACAGATAGAAAAATAGGTATTGACGCTATCACATACAGTCAGAAAGTTACATCACCCCGTGAACGGATAAAACTTCATGACTCATTGTCTAACCATAGGCAATTGCTTTTTGTATTCCAGAGCAACTAAACGTATTCAACTACATACAAAAATTTGTCTGAAATACAGAGAAGCTGCCGATTTTTGGTCGGTGGACGCTCTGTCATAGTGGATCAAAGCAATCGCTTTACAAAAAGAAGGAGAAGATACTGCGCCCACCGCTATCGATGTTGACATTAGAGCTTGCTTTCAAACTATCATCAAGCATCCAAGAATTCCCCAAGTTCGAATCTACCGTTATTAGATATAATACGGTATGTTAAAAACGGATGGCCGGGTTAAATCGGGAATGAATCGGGAAGAAAACAATACCACTGCTTGAACTGACAGGAGATTTAGGCTGGGTTTTTCCTATCTCACAAAAGCATTGATCTCCTTTCTATTTTTCGTAACAGGGTATTAAAACACTGCATGCAGGTCATTTACGAACAATGAGATGTAAACGTGTTAGTTAGGACTTCCGTTAATTGGCCGCAAAACGACATAAACAGCTGCAGTAGACATCCAGTCACAAATACACCCAGCGTTTCCCAAATGTAAACTTCGAGTAATGGTTGACGCTGACTTTGCCATGCAGAATGGAATAGCAACCTTGCTATCAAAAATGCTGTCGGCGAGCGACGTAATATCATCGAATTGACTTCGAGCAACTTCTTGTAACTATCCGACCTATGAAGGAAATAGTTGCATGTTGTGATTGTCCCACAACGCTCGTGAGAAACAATGGTATTCAGTTCACACACATTAAATTCAATTCAGTCCTACCTGGAGTGCTCAAGGGCCAAATGGAAAGAATTGTGGACATATTCAAGTGAGGGTTGCTCAAATCAAATGAAAACATTCACACTACAAACACTTCTCAACTGCGTGGAATAAATATGCTTTCTCGAAATGTGCTCGGACGACGTTTATCGAACTATTTCTCAACGTGAAGCTACGTATTGAGTTGTTGTTGTTTCTAAGGAACTCTGCAGTATGTGATTCATTAGACCAGTACATAATAAAACAATAGATCGTGTAGCATGGAGAAGCTATTCGCCGCAACAGCAACCGCAGAAATCGACATGGCCTCCCGGCTTTCTACTTCGGCCTATCCACAGTATTCTTTATGAACGTAAGCTGGTAAACGCATATGCAAACAACGCACAGTTCAACTGAGAATGAGGTCAACAATCCAGTAGCGGATTAGCAAATCTGGCATCCGATTTTGATAAAAGAAAGAACCTAATAACAGTGAGTGGATAAGAGAACCTGCGTTCAGTAAACACTATGAAAAAATTCCGACGCCAACATAAGTTCCGGTACACCGGTGATCGGCCAAGGTGCAAAGAGAAAAAAAGAGCCTGTTCTGCGAACATAAACATGCCACCACTTTAGGAATCCATACAAGATTCTAAAAAGACACCGAACTCAGATAATCCTAATAGGACTGAAAAACAACCCTAGTGATGTGGAAACCCGCAAGTCCAAATGTATTATAATTAGGATAATAATTAGAACAATTTATGCAACTATTTATACTTTTAAATTGAAAACGATAGTTTCAACGATAGCCAAGCTCGAAAGATAATAGTTAGGCTAACATTTTTATACATATCACATTTTTAGTACGCTCTCCTACAGAGGTCTCTTGCAAAAAAGATTTTTTTTTTTTTTCTTTACTGAAACCACAGAACTTCGAAGCATCATTTATTTTTGAAGGCCATGATTTATGTAACCAATTAAAAAAAATAAATGACTATGCATGTGCACTTTAAGAGAGGATTTTGCAATTCTCTTTAGCATGTACTCTGTTACTCTAGATTAAAAAATGTGCTAGGGCCCTTACTCAATATACGAAACATCTGTGACAGAACAATAACTGTGAGGAACGTCTACGGTTCCTACTGCGCAAAACAAATCTCCATATCTTATTTAAAAATTGTCTATTTGTTTTGCGAAACGGCATTATTCGGTGAGGAACAATGGCAGCAAATTGGTTAACGAAAATAAAGGCTGCTGGTGCTGTGTTAGAAAGAGATGGCCGGCAGTCTTTTATATAGTAACAAAAGAATTATACCTAGAATCGTAGTGAATGGCCACCCAAAGCGCCATAACTTGATAAACTATTTATGAGTTTTACCAGAGACTCTTGGAAGCTTAGTTGCTCCGATGTTATGATAAATGTCGCTGGAAGTGGTTTAAAAGCATTTCACGTAAAATACGTCAGCCAATCAGAAGCTTTTTCTAACGATAAAATGTACTTGCAATCACCGTTCTTGCACAGTATAGATTAAAACTTATTGTCTGCAGTGCAGAATAAGTGTGGTGATAATAAAAGTCGATCCTGAGGAAACACTCCGGAAACTTTCGACAGTGATTGAAATCTGAGGACAAAGACGCATGTCCAGTGCTAAAAGCCGTTCTATGTTGGTGCTCACAAAGATTCATAGTTCGTAGTTATTTTTAATATACAGAAAAAAGTAGTTTCATGTGGGTCAATAACCCAAAGCTTCGGCCGTTGCAAAAACTTACCTGCAGCGCAACTCTCCTTTCTTGTGTGACCTTATCATTTAGATGGCGAATTTTTTTAGGTGGAAAATCTGCAAATTCAAGCGAAGGATGAAGTCGACGGATGTTTTTGTACAGGGCGTGAAAGTCCCTGTAGCGACGCTCCAACTACGTAACAGCAAGATAAGTCATGGCACATATGTTAGATATTGGAAAATATGGAGGACAAAACATTTGGTAAACCAAATTCGGAAAAGCAGCGTTTTGAGAGCCCTACATAATCACACCAACCTCCTATTTGATAACATAGACAACAGCATAATAGACCTTCTTTTATAGCATGCTAGCAACTTTAATTAATTAATTAGTATGGATATTTATTACAACTATGTTACATTGCTTCGTAAATTAGACTCCTTTGTCAACGTTGTCGTATGATTTGTTGCAAACGTATGAGTATTCCTGTCATTATATTGCTAGAGAAAGTTGATCACTTAAAAAGTGCATATATTATTTCTAAAAATGTACCAGATATGTTCAAGATAATTGTTGGATGTCAGTAAAGTTGAATTTGTGAGCATGTTGAAGACCATCTTACGTCGAACACATTATGTAGATTCTATGAAAGAGCTTGTTGACACAAGCTAAATTCAATACATTCGTGTAGGCTAACGTATTGAAAAAAGCGATTGTCAAAACCACGAAAAGGATCATTAAGTCATACAAGGGCTAGTCAGGAACTTCCAGTAGTTATGTTGGTACACAAAAATATACTCAACTGGCACAATTCATTTTTTCCGCTCAAAAATAGCATCCTCCGATCCCGTAAACTTGTTTCCCAACGCATTGCAGTCAAAGTATTTCGATACCTAAGAAACCTTTTAATTATTTTAGCAACTTTTCTTTAATCCATTCTCTTCTTGAGGCTAATATGTACGTCGATGACATTTATTTTTGGGCTCTGAATGGTGGCAGCTATGACGCAAACAATAATTAGCAGCAAAGAATTCCTGAACCAAAACCACTTTTTTTGTCGCAAGCGGGTTTAAACATCATAACTACAAAATGTAAAAAAAGGTTCTGTAGTAGGTGATTTAAATAATCATGGAAGGTCCTGACTAAACAAGATTTCCCAGTTTCGAGTTCTACTCATACTCGAACTATAGGAAAAGAAAATCCGTGCAAGTTCAATTCACATTAAAAGAATTGACTTTTTATTCGTAAACCTTTAACAAGCTTCTTCCACCCCGAACCGTTTGTAAACTCACGAATTTGGTAAACATTAACATTCAAGTTCTATGATGGCAACATACACTATGTGTGGACGTCGCAAAAGTGGGCAAGCAACGTCAAAGGAGTGGACTATGAAAGGCAAACAAGATACGACCGGGCCAACATGTACTTCATCGACCAGCCTCTTGAGCGAGAATAAGAACCCCTAAAGGGCTTACTGAGGTAGATGGAACTTAAGTGACAAAAACTTCACGAAAGGTTGTTTTCATTTTCCTTCGTGCAATATATTGAATCACAAAGTAAACTAGGTAAAGGGAAACACTCTGTAACTAATCTGAGTTAGCCAAACAGAATCGTTTTCAAAAAATGGCATTACTTGAACAGGAAAAGCGCAGCTCCAGCAGCATAATACACCATCCTACAGGTCATTCCTGCTGAATGGCTAAGTCAATTAGATTACGTTCCAAGTACTTGACCATCTAGGAATTTACAGTAAAACCAGGGATCGTTAGCCACATATTAGCGATGCAACAAATTCATAAGTGCTTTCCGTGAATATACTAAATAGAGTAATTGATTTATATCTCTAATTTAGACGTGCGAAATAATTATTCAGCATTCAAGTTAAATCAATTCAAATACGCTTCTAAAATTGTAGCCCGAACATTGTGCGACCGGTGTATACGCTATATACCTTCCATTTGGCATTTTAAAAAGGCAAAAGATATTTAGTAAAATGCATATTCTACCATACACCAAGAAAAAAATAAAGGTACGAATATATTATTATTATTTTCGTCTGGTTGTAATCTAACTCCATTGTGCTGTACCATCGAAACCGAGGGCGTTTAAGTTGTCCCGATAGTGGCTGTCAATCAACGAAGTTCAGCTGTTTTTTTTACTAAATTCTCAAGAACTGATAACCAAGTCATTAAATATCGCTTACTTTTTGCTCAGATAATGTTATTAAGACTTCTCCCCTGTTCTCATGGTTACACGACCCACTGTTACACATAATCTGAAAACCACGCATTAGTTTGTTGTTCCAGATATTTTGATTTTGGTTTACTAACACTATTGCCAGTGTTAACATAGTACCGCTGACGGTATCTGCTATACAACTACTAAAAGGTCTTATACCTTTTTCGAATGCCATCATAAAGCGTTCCACCGTCTCCTCATTTCATCTTGCATGGTAATTTTAGAACAACAGTCAAATTCAAGTTTTCATTTAAATTATGCCGGATCCTTCATTCCTGAAGATTCAAGTGGTTAACCTAAAGCACTAAATAATATCTGACATAATGAAGCACTTTCTACCTTAAGTCGGGGTGTTGGTATTGAAAGTCCGAAGTTGCTGTTTCCCTGATTGATATTATCCACGATGAGAAGAGTGTAAACAACGAACTTGCTGTGACCTTGCTCTGTGGTCCGGGCAGAGGGAATCAGGATCTTCATTTCTACTGACTGGAAAAAGAGATTAGAAGGTTTGTTTGATCTAAAAGAGGGTTCAATATTTTGTAGTTATGTACATTCTGGCTAAGCTATCCTACTGGTTTTGTCCTATCTACTATGCTACCAATAAAACAAATAAAAAAAAACATCCAACTGCACCAACATATAAAATTAATTTATTCTATTAATTGTTAAACATACATCACTGAGTATTTCTTGCCGGAAAACGCTAGCGTACTAGAGTAAGATACTTGTGCATGACTATACTTGCTGGAAGCGCTTTCATATAACCGCTTTTAACACTACTATTCGTGCCGAGCATCGCTCCTAAGCAGACCTAACAAGTATAGTATTTAAAGTAAACGATTGTGGTAACCAGATCAATGCACTATAATTGTATCTTGAAGCCATGAAATGTTTGTTTTTTCACTAGGTACAACTGGCTTTGGACGGCATTCCAACGCCAAATGTGACTGATTTATGATGGGCCACTCCACAGTAGTCTTAGAAGATATAGGGAGTTTTGGTTCCCGTGGTCAGTTGTCTGATTTTGGAATTACGTTTCCAAGTTAGGCCTTGAAAACTATACCTAAAACAAAATGCAGAGATTTTTGTTGTAATTATAGCTCTAAATTATTTGCTACAAAGCATATTTGTTATGGTTTGTCTTCTTAGGTTCAGAGGATGTCGTAGTTTGATGTCAGTCAATCTTATATAGGATCGGCATGCATCGGTTTGCAACTAATAATATATGTTAACCACAATATATGCTAATGCTATTAAAGTTGTTTTTGGATGAGGTTTCGATTGGTAGAAAAATTAGCAAAATAAAGGAATCAAACGTGTCGTAGGTTATCAAGAATATGTACGGCTCTGGAACACTGAGTTATTTTATTTAGACCCACATTTGGAAAACTGACGAGTCTTTGACAAAAAAATTCTTAAGCTTACATGAGTATGGCAATAACAACCTGAGCGCATAGGACGTTCCGAGTTTCCTCTCTACATGGTTCGCCTTGTGAATCTTTAGAGATATCGTCCTAAACCTGGCACCGTTTACATCATTAGAATACAAAAACTTAAAACTTCTTCAATGAAGAGCAAAACGTCTACGTAGCATTCTCTCTAGTGGATTTATTATATAGCTACTATTCTTTTATATTATTATAATTGACGTTATAGTACTGTATAAACGTACTTATGCACTTGACGTGTTTCCAACGTTCTCTAAAAACTGCAAAAAAAATACTACATTTCTGAAATGCTGAATGCTCTCTCAAGTAGATATTACGTAATCTGATATAGGAAATCAATAAACTGTATTTTGCTTTTGAAAAATGTCCGACATGAAAAATTATATGTATGTAACGATAATGGTACATATTTATTGAATGATCGAGAAATATTGAGGGCTTTGAAGTCACATATCTCGAGTCATCGTTCATGGTCTCTGCAGTGTGCCATTAATGGCGTTATTTACTTTAAAGCGCTAGTGGCTTTACCCAAATGTCTCGGAAAACAAAGTAAAACAAAAAACCAAGCCAAAAAATTCAGGAACGAAGGAAGGCTTGCAACTACCGATTCATTTTGCCTTGACGGAGCAAGCTTGAAAACAGGCAACTTTTACACACTTAGGCTTAATCTTAACAACATTTCGAAGGTCTTATATAACACATACCAAAAAAGGCATCAGAAAGGAATTGTAACAGTAATCAATATTGGGTATCCTCAAAAGCTATTGGTGGATTCTGCAATAATGTCATTCAATTTGAGAACAGCATTAATTGCCACTTATGGTATTCGGATCATCCGGTTAAAGTTAATTCGAGATTTAACAATGACAGATAGAGTTGTAGCTGGGTTCTTAAAATTAACACTTGGTCTTCACACTCCAACCCAAAACACCTTAGCGTACCTGTTAGTTGACAGTTCATGGTTTCTTAAAGATATCCGCAAAGTGTCCTTTCTACGCGGAACAGTGACATATCGCATAATATAGATAGGCAGATAATGAAGAACACGGAAATATATCCTTCGTCTTACTACATCCGCAATTATTGATGGTAGATCGAAACATTCAGTCAGAAAAGTTGCTTTATAGCTGGACTTGCAAATCATATATTTCATCATTTGGTTTGCAAGGAACAAGGACAGCTTAAGCCAAGTGGGAGCTGCATTTATATATATATAAAATTAGGTACTGTAGGTTAATTTCAGCCAAAATAAGATTAATGAATCAGCTTACTAGCTTATACACCAAGCCTAGAAGTGAAATAAAATTCACACGATGTTAGCAACTATCAGTGTATATATAATTTTCCTTTTATTATGTATATCGACATGAGTAAATATATAAGTAAAGAGGGCATGTGAATCATGGGATGGCAAGAAAACGATATTATAATTAATGAAATTACTAAACATTTGTCGGTTTTTTCAGTATATTCTGTAGAGCAATAATAAAATCATGTTCTGACTCAACGACTATTCAAGAAATGACTAAAGTAATAAATACTTACGAATATACTCTTTGAAAACCTCGTACTACTAACGCTTATAGTTAGCTAAGTGTTAGTAATTAGTAAATATTATTACTGCCAATATATACGTGGTACAATGGTAATGAAATTAAGCTTCAAAACTGATTGAAAAATAAACTTTTATCGATATAGTGAATTCCTCGAAAAACCGTACTTATACCAACGAGGTAAACAAAACTCACCGGTTTGGGCCCTTTTTTTTGGTAACGCTATGATTCCGTAGCCTTTTCTATTTAGCTTTACTTCTTCAAAGCAGCTCTCCGATATATCAATATACTCTAATAATTACACTGGAGGCACATACTGATAAAAATATGTACACATATTAAATACATGGGAAATATGCGCAATGCACTAAATAGGACTAAAATAACGTCTAAAATTGCATCTATAAATATAGGTATATGAGCTGTATGTAATGTATAGGAGAGGCCGAAACGCAGCTGAAAGTACGTGAAAGCGATTCATTAAATTAATAGGCGTACGCCTCTACACAATCTAACGAAGCTTCGCCAGTGAGACAGAGCGTCTATTCGACAGTGAACGAGAAAGATCATTAAATGGTCATTAATGTTTGCATCGTCTGGTCCTGCTTGTTGGCACAATTTCGAAAATCTCTTCGTATAATAATAAATATTTTTGTTTAGATATCATGTTTCATATAAAAACCAATTCTCAGCATCTATTTCAAAAGCTTTTATCACTGTGCTATAAGAATTTTTAATTCAAATTTTGAAATACACTCGTTGTTTTTGTGTTGAAAATTAACTCTTTCATGCAATGCTCAAGCAATTCCATGCGTCTAACTTTAAACTTTTATTGAATTTCTGGTTTTGAATTTATTTCAGGTTACATTAAACTAATCATATTATCATAAATTATTTGAGAATATAATAAAAACTAAAAAGAAGTTAGTACCTTGTAGGACAGCAGTGTTTAAGATGTTTTAAAATTGATTTAAACCCTAATTCCTTCTATAATATATATTCTTGCTATATAATTATGTGTGATCTGATCGAGAAAGTTGAATAACAAGGGAAGTCCTGCTGGAGTACATTATAAAATTTTTTTAGCCCACTGTACTTCACATGAAAACAGTAGGTTTTAGAAGATCTAATATTCGCTTCAACTGTCTGTCTTGTGCAACTTTTATGGACTTTGAAATTTAAAAAATCTGCTATATAAAGATCTTACACAATTCTTTTTCAACTATGGGGGTCCAAGGTGCTAACCATTGAACTTTACAGATATAAATATTATGCTTAGCGAATAGAATTCAATCCTTTGATACAAGATATGCCGAATTTCGAATACGGTGCCGACCAGTGACAAAATTATGAGTGTTCTTGAGCAGTTCCTTAGTAGTAAAAATATGGATAACTGTAAGTATCGAAATTCGTCAGCGCTGGATTCACCGAACAACTGTTGCCATTAGTTCCGTGAAAGCTACGAATTTCAGCTGAGTCTGAGTATACGGAATAGATTTTTGTTTCTGGAGCATACGTCGTTTTCAATATAATGTTTTGTGGCCGAAAGTCTGAAGTCTAACTAGGCCGAAACTACACAAAAATTGACACAGTCTTTCAGTTCTTAATTCCAACTTATCGTGAAACTGCATTTCGCAAGCGTAATTATGAGCACAAATGTTATTTGAGTCATTATTCTAATAAGATTGTTAATAAAAACAATTCTTGGAGAAATGTCCTTCATCTTGAAGGTGCTCTATCTTAAATCTAAGTAAAGTCAACAATGCTACTGCATCTAGTACCATTAAATTTCAGCTTTGAAATGACATTAACGTCAAATCGATGTGGCTTATAATATCTTAGATACGTGGCTTTAAAGCCATCTAGCAAAAAAAAGATACTGTTTCTAAAACCCAATATAAAAGAGCTATAAGGGTATCCTGGGCTATTAATTTATTTTGCACACATGCTTGAATATACAGTACCCTAGAGCAAGTACCCATCGCCATCTAATGGTGACTGTAATTTCTAGGTTTTTTGGATACACAAAGAGGGATCACTGCGTGATTGTGGGTGAACACGTTCTTCTGTTGTTCCTTAACAGGTCATCTATTGGCAACAATGGGCTACGCCCAGAATGTCAAGGGTTTTACCACATCTGCGTATGAGAACATACACAAATAGGCTCCGTGAGGAGTTAACCATTGTGACAGACATCTTCAGAACTAAATTATTTCACACAATGCATAGCTTTTTAACCTTTCAACATGCATTTTTTAATCTAATTTTTTCGTTCATATCAGACGCATGTTTGTTGACGCATGTAATTTTGAGTATGTGTTATGATATCATCACGCAGATAATTTAGGGAGCTGACTGCTTTTTGAAGATTGCCAAGATACCCGATTATATTAAAAAGTATGTTTTGTTATTTCTGTTGTGTACACAATCTTAAAAGTCTCGGTGAGATGGTTTGGTGCGACCAAAAATCTCTGTAATAAAGAAAACTCATGTTTGGAAAAACTCATCCTCTTATTTTTAAGAAAATCAAAAGGGCATATAAAGGATTTAAATTAAAATATAAAGTACGACTCGCTATTACTTGTTAGCCTCTTTGCGGTAATGTAGAGTAAAAACTCAATTTATTAGGTAGGACATGGCTGTTTTTGTTTATTGACTGTTTTCCATGAGTATCTGATAAAGTTAAAGATAAGCCTACATTTAAAAAAAAAGAGGATATTCCGCAAACTATAGCGGGAGGAAAATGTGAAGTATTTGGGCAAAATGAAAGCAGAGATATAGAAGACTATGCATGAAGTTGCTTTTCGTTCATTAAATACTTGTTCAAAGAAACATACCGGCAGATTCTTTTTGTTACAGCGTTAAGAATGCTTTTTTTTTTATTTACTTTTGGGGTTACCATTAACAGTTAGTTATGTGCACCATCAAGAAGGAGTGCAACATGTCAACAATGCGCTATTCGTTCTATTTATTTATTTCTCTGTTCATAAAGCAGTCAATGGTCATAAATTCGATTCGTTAGCATAGTTTTGAAGCACGCCTTGCACAGCTCAGATTAGTTTCATTAGTCATTTCATGATTGTATAGTGTTTCAGTCCTTATACTGTTTCGATGTTGTTCTGTAAACTCGATCTTTTACAAATTTGCATTAGAAGAAATTGAGCGGAACCAAATTATAGGAGAATATGCAGCGATGTTGCGACTTGTTTCGCTGGTTTGTGGTCTTTGTAGATTCACTTTTTCTGCAAATGAACCAGTCCTTTCAAAGTTCTTGATGAATTGCCTCAGGGTTTGCTTCTTCAATGAAAGTGTCTCTATAAGGTCTTATTTTTTGCACCTTTCGGTTTTGACGTCCATCGCTCGACAATTCTCGCTTGCATTATACTTCTGGGTTACTTACACAACTTACTGTAGGATGTGAGGGACAATCCCTTTACGTCGTATTCGCAGACTTTTGAGCAGCATTTAATACAGCACAAATGACAGAAAACCTTTTTAAACTTTGGCGAGCAAGTGTTCTGCTTGCTTTATTTTGAAATTTTTGATAAATATATTCTAAGAGAAAAAGACGATGTGGTCCAAAATGCGCATCTTTTTGAGTACCTTGGCATGATAACCAAAACTAACAAGCTTACTGTTATGCTACGTTAGCAACAATAATCAAGAAAATAATAAATTAAGGTATTACTATTGCTGCTTGTATGCCATGCTGTTTTATAAGTTCGTGGGAAGAACTTCCCGTAAGTTTAACAAAATTCACTCCGGCTCGACTCCAAATTGGGTATATCCATAATGTTATGTTCAAGAGTAAGTGATCCATATAAAATTTATATAATAGATAAATAAACAAAAATTCATATAAAATTGTTCACGTAAAATAAATAACTAGTAGTACTAAAAACACAAAAAATACTATGAAAGAACCAAATACAGTAGATTATATTACATACTTTAGGCGATTAAGTCAAACCGCTGGAGGTGCTGAAAACGACAATCTTTACACCATGCTGTTTTCTGTACTGCTTAATACCTGCTCAGCGTTTGCAAGAACCAACATGCTCAGGCTAAAATACCATTTTATGCAAACTGTCTTGTAATATTTAGCAAAAGCCGTTTTTACCTTTGCCAAATCATGACTACTCTTTGCGTAGAGAGCCTAGAACTGAGGGGAACGTTTGAAAGACAGAGGCTATGAGATTCCGATGTAATGGTTATCTTGCAGCATCAACCACTTAACGTCATGGTATCAGAAATCTGCAACATACCAACTCATTCATTACTGACTTTCCCATTTAATGGTGTGCCGTTCGGCGAACATATTTTAAGCAGAGCGACGAAAGCTCTAGTAGAAGTTACAACAATTGATGAACCATTCAAGCTAATAATAAAAACAGCACTGATTTTTTTCCTAAGGCGTCTTTCAGTAAACAAACATCTCCGACTTGTACGACTTTTGTTGTTGGCACTGTCGCAAAATGTGTTTTCGATACCAAGTTTGTCAAAGCTTTGAAGTAACCAATACTCTACAGCACCGCAGATGGGAGCTGGGTGGATCGGATGACATCTACTACTGCTCCGTTGGTTCCGAAACGCACTCCAGTACATAGTGCTGGCTTGGTTAGTCCGCCATGGAGGAAGTGGACTAGTGAAAAGGCAGAAGGCTAGTTGACAGACCAATTTAGCGGACAGGGCTTAATATTTACTCTTTCTTTCTGATGGGTATAAGGCATTCCCCCTTTTCACTACAAAAAAAAGTACGTCAATAAATGATTACTTATCATGGTGGCAAGCTCACGAATAACGCTGCGTGGTTCCTAGGAATTTCGTGAATGCAACTTTTAGCGTACAATGTGTTCGAACAACCCCTCTGTCAGAGCGTCATGAATAGTTTAAAGGCCACTTAATTCTTCGTTCTGTCAGCACGTCCAGTGACCCAGAAATACACACCAAGTAAGACAATATGTCACCGAAAACTGAGTTACAACCGTTATCAAAAACCAGATACACCCAACAAGGGAGCGATCCAGTGCATCGGCGCGATACCAAGCTAGGGTGCATGATAATATATATATATGGTACGAATTTCGAAATTATGGGCTCTGTGCTTGGACAAATGAACAAGACGATATACGTTTTCACTAGCCTCGCTCGCAAGCGTTTTTGGAGGGGACCACAGGGCTACCCAACCGTAGCGATTAACAACACACACTTTGACGGCAGTGGTACCGAGACTTAGCCAGCAATAGGTCTATGAGGATTGAGACAGGTGACACAATTGAAGCAAGGTTTTAACGATTTGACGAGTTCAAGTGAAACGGAGCTGACGGAAGACTTACATCCTTACCAAGGAGAGCATTCATGCTGTAAAGATTTTGCACAAAAAAACCCGCTAGATAAGATTTCTAGTCGTAATTAAAATGTGGGCTCCTTTTCAACCGTATTTCACGTCCTAGCAACCTGTGGTCGTCGATAAACAAAGCAAATGCAGTTTGCTTCGATATGCCGGTCGATCGCTCATGCCCTAGTTACTGTTCATTTATTTGCT